TAACAGGTGCCAACATTCAAAGATGGTGACATAGTGGTGAATGAATCAAATGCCATTTGTGATTACTTAGAGGTATTGGTTTGAGATGACCTTTTTGCAAACCAAAGACCTATAATTTGCATTTTTGTAGACTAAACTTTGAGTTTACCTCTGTCTCTGAAAAAAGATTTATAAAGATTTCATATGTTTCAGAGTACTTACAAAGATAAAGGTACAAAACTCATACCTGATGACAAAGCCAAAAGAGCAAAGGTTCTTCAGCGCATGCATGAAGTATGTCTCCTCTTGGCTTTAATTTTAAGAAATTTTCCAAGCTAAAGTTTGTAATCCCTTGGTGTAAGGTACTCGGGGTTTTCTGCTGTGAAACAATTTGACCTCATAATACAACCTCATTCTTTATCCTCATAATAGACGAATTTAATTTCTATTTCTCTTCGTATTACAAAAGGCGGCCAGCAACCTACAGCAGAAGATGGCCATGGACGTTATTAACTACATGTGGCAAACGAAAGAGGAGGACCAAAAGAAGGTAAAACATTTGTCATATTGATTCCTTTACATGCCATTTATTTTGGGACTGGTTCCTGGACAGAAATGGGAATACATATATAATGATTGCAAACTGGAATTGGGGGTGGGTGGGTGGGTACTATGATTATGTATCCTTTACAATTACAAACATTAAAAATGGATCGAGGGGCTTTCAATCATTTTCAACAATCCGCTATATTTTTACTTTTTTAGCTCACCTGAGCAGAAGGCTCAAATGAGCTTTTCTGATCAAAATTTGTCCGTCGTCTGTCGTCGTCGTTGTCGTTGTCGTAAACTTTTCACATTTTCATCTTCTTCTCAAGAACCACTGAGCCGATTTCAACCAAACTTGCCACAAAGTATCCTTGGGTGAAGGGGATTCAAGTTTGTTCAAATGAAGGGCCATGCCCTTTTCCAAGGGGAGATAATAATGAATTAGAGAAAAATTAATGGCATTTTTTAAAAATCTTCTTCTCCAGAACCACTGGGCCAGGAAAGATGAAACTCATGTGGAATCATCCTCCGGTAGTGTAAATTCAAGTTTGTTCAAATCATGACCCCCGGGGGTAGGGTGGGGCCAAAATGGCTGATCAAAATTTAACGTGGGAATATATAGGGCAACCTTTTAAAATTTTCTTTTCAAGTGTTTCAAAGCCATGATTAGTAATATTTATATGGAAACATCCTCAGGTAGTGTAGATTCTAGTTCGTTCAAATTATGATCCCCTGGGGGGTTAAAATTCAAGCCCCCCCCCAGGGGTGTGCAATTAGCATCGCCCGACGCCCGGGCTACCATTTTTTGGGGTCGGGTTAGTGATTTTCTGCAAGGAGGTAGCCCGTCGGGCTAGTAAAAATTTTAACTACACACGCAATACATGAAAAGCACAACCGGTATTTTCACCGTTTTTTTGCAATTTAATTCCCAACCAGTGAATATTTTCCAGACAACATGCTCCAACTGTCAATAAATCTCAATAATCTTATCTGTTTTGCAGTATTACCTGACTTGTTTACTTGCAAAAACGATCGTTTTTTCTTAATCCGAATTTCCTCCATTCCTTCGTTTATGGTAAATACATGGAGATATCTCATTAAAATTTTTACGATCATTCAATCAACTGGAAAATAAGTGTTTTGTGACTCACATAAAATATATTTCTAGTGTATTTAATGATTAAACATGAAAACAAAATGAATTTATTCCATTCTAAATGAGCTGCTGCTAGTGCAATGTTCAGAATTATTTAAATTCAGTTTAATTTTCTTTCATGATAATTTAAACATGATTTTAAAATTTAATAGTGAGAGTTATACATTAATTAAAAAAAAAAGAATTAACTCAGTACCCTGACTTTTTCAACAATTAATTTCATTTCATTTAAATTTTGGCCCCTATATTTGGGCTAGTAACTTTTTACTTGGGGCTAGTAACTTTATAGCTGCCACTAGCCCATGGGCTAGTAATAAATTTTTCTAATTGCACACCCCTGCCCCCCCCCCCAACCTTAGTCAACTTTCAGTTCTGATCTGATATGTGCTTTTTCCTAGCCGATGTGTTCAGGTGAGCGATGTGGCCCCTGGGCCTCTTGTTTCTTTTAACTTTTCTCGACATGGTCCGACCATTATTGGTTGCCTTCCAAAGGGAACTATTATGAGGAAAAATATTTCTATTTAAAAACTTATAATTTTAATTGCAGTTTATTTAAACAATAAAATGCTTTCTTTGTTTGTTATTACTGGAATTAACGGTCGCAGCTATTGCAGAAAAAATTTACATAATATTTTTTCTGCAACAACTTGCGTAAGCGGGTTATGTAATTTTTTTTCTGCTGCGACTGTTAATTCCAGTAATAACAAACAAAGAAAGACATTTTATTGCTTATATTTATATCTGTTTAAATAATCATTTAAAGTATGATTAAAAAGATTAATTATTACATGTATTAATGATGCGAACGTCTTTATACGTTTCATTGATGGAACAGCCACTGATCAAGAAATCTGTACAAGCGACATGCCTAATGTAGTTCATGCAGTGATTAACGCAGTGGGTTTTCTTAAGAAATAAAGGAGAAAAAATATTCAGTGGATATAAATATTGCATTTACAATACCATTTTACATTTATATAATAGTTATGAACTACCATTTAATTCAGGCATTTGTTCGTTGGTGTACTCCATAATTATATAGAACACAATTATTAACCTCTGAAAAAATACAGCTTGATTTATGTACCGGTACACGTATATTGTAGGAAGAAGTGAAAAAGAAGTTTGATGCACTGAGAGAGGAGTTAAATCGCTGGGAGGGGTACCTAGGGGAGGTAATTGTTTAGCCTTTGAAAGTTAGAGAGTCAGAAGTTCACTTTTAACGTTTTGTGGAGTATTATATAAATGGTGCCTGACGCGTCGGTTGACAATGGTTTTCCTTGGGGTGTCAATTTCAACTGTTACCCTCCAAAACAGGCACCATTTATTTTATTATACTGAATGTCTTCTTAAATTAAGTCAGCAAAAAAAAAATCGTCGATCATCTTTACGTTCACGTTTAGAAAGCTTTCAAACTCCTCGCTACTTCTGAAAAGATTTACTGACCTTTTTATTGTTTGTTTGATACTGTAAGAGTCTTTTATCATATAAAGTTTCGTTATTTCTGCACTCGCAAGCACGTTTCGTCTGTCGTTTGTTGTTTTCAAGTAAGCTACATCGGACGCAAGCTTTTATTGACGTCAAGTTTATTCCAGTTCTTTCAAACGCGCAACTGACGTTTTGAGAATTCTACGGTGAACCGCATAATATCCACGCATGTGGCATTACCGTTGTGTTACCCGTTGTCACATGCGTTGCTAAGGCTGAGGGTAATAGAACGGATTGTTAACTGCGTCTAAACCAATCAAATTTTAGTATTTAACATGAAAGTATAATTATACATTGTGTACTAATCGTCAAGCAATGTTGACTGTTTCTAAGTTCTATAGCGCTGGTGGGCGTGGTTTCCTCCTTCAGAGGGTAAACCGTTATTTAACAGTTTTAACATATCAAATTCAAGTAAATTACATGACAGTATTTTGTATAATAATTAATATGCCACTTCAATTTGGAATTGTACTCTATTTTACATATCTTGCCATTATCATGCAGACAAACGCATTTCTGGCGGGCCCGGACTTCAGCATGGCCGATGTCTACTTTTACCCCTACATTTTCTTTGCTGTTCGTGTTGGGTTGGATCTAGAAAAGCTCCCGAACCTAAAGGCCTATTTCGACAAGCTGTCAACTCGTCCCAGTCTCGATAAGACACAGCTCCACACTGGAAAGAAGAACCACCCAAAAGTACCCCACTGAAGGGACTTCTGTGAACAGAACTTTTCTTTAAATACACGGTATTTACTAATTCGGCTCAAAAGAGTCACAGTGTACGTTTTATGACCATTGTGTGACAATTTCAAAGTGAGTCCTGGACTTTTATAATATCGATTTTGAATAAATGCATTTGTACATTTACTATATTATCAATGAGATTAAACCTTTTCAATCATTTTTGTTGTTGAAGTGACGCGTATCCTCATTTATCAGTTAGTGCACAGGTGCTTGGGGACGAGACTCCCCTTACCTATTCCGTACTCCAAGGGTTCTTCGTATCAGAGAGTATAGATTTTTATAAAAGGCTAGTTTTAGCTTAAATTTAGGATTTTTTTGTAGTAATACTTTGTGAATATGTCACAGAAAAATATTTTAATCAAAAAAGTCAAAGAACCCTTAGAGTACGGAATAGGCATAGGAAAGGGAGGGGGTCCCGTCCCCAAGCACCTGTGAGTTAGTGTAGGGCTGTACCGCGCAAACTCCATCGGCAACGAACCAGATTTGTCGTCTTTCTGTAAATAGCCAATAGCGGTCTAGCGCGCTGTTTTTGCCATTTCTGCATCCTAAAATGCAGTCTAGCACTCAGCTGCTATGATACAGATTCAGGGCCCTGAACCAAGAGTTGGTTGCCAGTGTATTTGAAAAGTCACGCAAGATGCTTAAATTAAACAAGGGTAATTTTATTTTAAATGTAGGTCAAACTCCAAGGTCAAATAAAAAATTTTGAGCAGTTTGGTCACATGCACTACACATAGGAAATAGTGAAAGCCTAAAATGGCATCTATTATCGACCAAAATTTATGGACAAGGTTAAATTTTGGTAAATTTAGCAAAAATGGATCAAACTCTTAGGTCAAGAGGTAAAATATGTTGCTACCCAAACAAAGGTCTTGTATGAAAAAGGAATTGATATATGTGAAATACGATTTTAGCCTTACCAACCATTAAAGAGTTGTGACTTTATATAGAAGCCGGATTAGAGTTTTTACGGACCAACACATTAACAGACTAAAACCTAAATGCCTTCGACTCCTCGATTACTATTCCGCTGAATCATAAACCTGTCTGTTCTAAATGTTGACCCAGTAAAATTCTACAAAAACTTCCCGCTCGAGTTACCATACACCAGGCTTATTGTTTGTTGAGAGAGCTCGACTTGCACGCAGAAAAATTATGGCTGAGAACATGTTTCTGTACTGGGGGTCGGGGAGCATCCCCTGCTGGAAGCCCATGATCGTTCTGGAGGAGAAGGGATTCGGGGGATACAAGAACAAGTTGATTACGTTCAGCAAAAAAGAGCATAAAGGGGAGGATGTCATGAAGCTCAACCCCCGGGGACAGGTAAGATTGAGGGGTCAGGTCTGCATTGCAATGGACAACTTTAGGCGGCTAGGGTTGGGAGGGTGGGGAGGGGGTGCAGAATTATACAGTAGTTTGCTTCAGTTAACCTTGTATTGTTTAATTAATTACGCTCTGAAATATTGAACGGTCGTACATAGACCTAGTAATTAAATACCGGGGTTGAAATTCGGTACATGAAAACGCGCTTGTCAGTGGACATGCATGTACACAATGCATTTAATCCTCCAAGCAAAAAGAAAAAAAAAATGAAATATAATATGTAATTTAAACATTAAGTTAAAAAAAGAGCATACCGTGACATTCAAAGTTCGGATAGTAGAGGCTAGGCCTATAAAATGAATCATTCATGTTTTATTAATAATGTTCACCAGATTTTAAAAAAGTAAAAGAGGTCACCTTACATTCATTCACACATTTTTAAAGAAACATGAAGTAATTTGAGTCACGAACCACAGGGGCATCTTATCCACTCTGTTCTCTACTTCACATATAAAAATACACATATTTTATATGTGAAGTAGAGAACAGAGTGGATTCACACATTTTTAAAGAAACATAAAGTAATTTGAGTCACGAACTTCATTTTTTCCATTGTAAGACACTTAGATTTTTTTTATAAAGGGACTGGGTTAGTCTATTAAAAAATATCAAGAGGTCCATGGTCCTCAATGCTCACTTGAGTAATTTTAGTTCACTTGTTCTTCACCAGATCCCCCCACCACCACTTGTGATACTTATTGTGGTCCCACTCTATCAAGGGGGGTATAATTTGAATTAATTAGAATCTACACTACCTCACAAAGCTTCCATATAAATTTCAGCTTTTCTTGCCCAGTGGTTATTGGGATGAAGATTTTTAATTTCCCATATATTTCAATGTAGGGGGAGACTTGGCCCTTTATTTTAACAATTTAATTTCCCTTTCACCCAAGGATGCTCTGTATTAATTTGGTTAAAATTGGCCCAAAGGTTCTTTAAAAAGTTGAAAATCTGAAAAATGTACAGACAGATAGTTGAAAGGATTGACAGACTATGAAAATTTGAATCAGGTGAACAGAAAAGCTCACTTGAGCTAGCTTTTTGCTCAGGTAAGCTAAAAACCATTGTAATACAAAGGTGAGTGATACAAAAATAATATGCCCTTGGTAATTTGATACTTGACTTTTTTTCACAATGCAAGTTGAAAAGGGGGGGGTAGGGTTGAGGGGCTATTGAAGTATACTTTCGATTATTTCATATTTATAAAATTATAAATTGGTTATGCCCCTAATATTGTTGATCAGAGTAAATGAAATTTAAAAGATAAACATAATGCAAAAGAACCCAGGACCTACCAAACAAAGAAAAAAATACTAGATTTAAAAGGAGAAGGTTCTGTGAACTGCATTGTGAATCTAAGCACTATTTGTTCACCTGCAATATGTAAATCTGCATTACTGATTTAGAGATAAGATAGATGTCCTTCAAAACCTGAAAAAAAATTATCCAGTTTTCTTATCTGCTTGTCAGCAGTCCAGGTATGGGTGGTCCTAAATGTCAGAATTACTCCAACCAAACAAATCGTTTGACTTAGTGTTGACTCTGGGGGACTCTATAGAGAATTGAATAGCACAGAGGATTGTGCTAATAGTTTTATCTTACTTTTCCTCACTGCAAAGTATGTTTAAAGCTATTCATGTTTTTTTTACAATGATACACAGTGAAGTGGTAAAATTTTATGTTTAAATGGGAGAAAAATCACTTTTGGTGATAAATTTTGAATGACATATGCTAGTCCATTCATGTTTGACAAAATACACCATAAAAAATGACATCTCACCCACAAAGTTTCAAGACACAGAAGCAGAGGATCATAAATAATTCTTTGAATTTGCTTGCTTATTCTGCATTGGACTAAAAATAGATCAGATAATTCAAAATGGATGCAAATGTTCTGGAAAATTATTTCATTTGCATCCGACTTTCAGTTGGAATGTATTAGCTGTATATTAACTTGTACAATAAAATTATCTTTTGGACCCAAAATTAATGATCAATGTTCACAGTTCTGATTTTAAAATGAAATTCTGTTTGCACAACTCCTTCAGAATGACTATAAAATTATAACCATGAAACTCATATAGAGAAGATTAGCATGTAGTACATACTATATATCTTCTGTTTTTCTAACAGGTGCCAACATTCAAAGATGGTGACATAGTGGTGAATGAATCCAATGCCATATGTGATTACTTAGAGGTTAGTGTCTGAGGAGACCTTCTGTATGGTTTACAACTAATATAAAAATTTTCTTTGAACCCTTACTACCGTAAATATTTTTCAACAGATAACTAAATTAGATTTTCTTTTCATTGAAAGCTTAAGCATGTTAAGCAAATTTTATTGGGCCAAATTTGATGGGAATTACCTTTTGAAATTTATCATTAATGAATAATAAACATAAATCCCAGTTGGAGTTATTCCTCTTAATTGAGGGTCAGTCAACCCTTATAAAGCTTTGGAAGTCTGTTCTACAAAAAAAAATTAAAGAAGGTAGAAAGTACAAGTTTTCTTTTGTTTTTAATACAAGTTTTCTTTCATTTTACAAGATCTCATGACTTCATTTACTTTGTTATAGAGTACTTACAAAGACAAAGGTACAAAGCTCATACCTGATGACAAAGCCAAAAGAGCAAAGGTTCTTCAGCGCATGCATGAGGTAAGTAGCAGTGACTTTGTTTCTCTCTCCCTCCCTCCGAAAATGTGATGTAATTTGTCAAATTTCAGCAAAATAATTTTACTCAAAAGAAAGTTTGGGAATATTGTTGGCTTGTCCATCACAATGTCTTCTTTCTCAAACTGAACTTATTTACCCAAGCATGTCATGCAGCATCCAACTGGTCTTTTAGAATATTATTGGGGTGCCTTGAACATTTGCAAGTATTGGTGGTGTTTATAGGAGCATTTTGTATTCTTTGTTTTAACGAAATTTTGGTTCATAGAACTCCTCTCCAATTTATACAGTAGCCATCCCATCTTTTGCAAGATGATTGGAGTGTGTTCTAAAGATGTGGAATTAAGTTTTGGCATTTCATTTTTACCCTGGTTCAGAAACTGACAAAAAGTTGGCCAAAATTAGAACTGTGGAGTGTCAATTTCTTCCAACTAATGTAAAGACCAGCTATATTTATGTTTCTTCTCTTCATTGAAGGCGAACAGTAACATCCAGCAGAAGCTGTTGGTGGATGTAATTTACTACATGTGGCAAACAAAGGAAGAAGACCGAAAAGAGGTATAATTTATCTTAGTGTGTAGTTGTTTTACACAAGTATGTATACATTTTCATTTCAGGTCAGTTGAATACCTCTTGAGATAACATTGTTAATTCCCATCATAATTTTCATTTGTAAAGAGCAACAATACTTACAACTGATTTCTAGCGTTTTTACCACAATGCAAACAATTCATTAAATTTTGTTAAATTTATGTCATGTATTGTAGGAAGATGTAAAAAAGAAGATGGATGCATTGAAAGAGGAGTTGAATCGTTGGGAGGGATACCTAGGGGAGGTAATTGTGTAATTCTTCTTTGACTGTAAACCAGTCAGAAGTTCACACAGTAAAATAAGCTTAATAAACTGGATTTTTATGAATTTTCAGATAACTGAAATTCCACTATAAAATTTTATATCTTGCAGACAAAAGCATTTTTGGCAGGCCCAGAGTTCAGCATGGCTGATGTCTACTTTTACCCCTACATTGCCTTTGCTGTTCGTATGGGTCTGGAGCTAGAGAAACTTCCAAACCTGAAGGCGTATTTTGACAAATTGTCAGCTCGTCCCAGCCTCCAGGCCACTCAACCCCCTCACTGGAAGGAGGAGGAGCCCAAAAATACCCCACTGAAAGGGGTTCTGTGAACAAAACTCTCCTTTCAGTGTACAATATAAGTATTACTTATTTTGTTGAACAGAGCAGTTTTCATTGCCATTGTGTGTGCCATATTTATGACATAATCTTTATTAACAATTTGTTTTTGTGTTACCAGTAAACAATTTTGAATGATTAATAATGTACTTATCAGTATACATGTATAATGATTAAAAATAAATTTTTGCACTCTTGTTTCCTTAAATTACTTTTAAGTAAACACAAACAATTTGAAGAATAGACCAAGTTTATTTATTAAATACAATATTCATTGTAATATAAATATGGTATTTCCACTGCTGAAACTAAATTATATTAAAACAAGAATCCTTCATAAATCAATATGAATACTTTTATTCTGCCAATTTTCATACATCAACAGTGTTTGTATAATTTCACAATGTAGACAATTTCTATACCTATTTGGGCAATATTTTTCAAATCTACCTTTTCATACATAAACAAATGATTCGTTTTTACAGCAAAACCTAGTGCCTTACAATGAAAAATCAAGATTGGAAGAAAACGCCATATAAAACACTTTACCTTTATAGTGCTCTAAAGTTAACATACATGTACGTAATTATAGACAACAAGCTCACTTGTTTGTCAAAGTGAGGAATACCCGGAGTACATGTACCAACTGAATGTTTGATAACATGTTCATCTTTATAGTCGTTTTATTTATTAAGGTTATCATTGTAGTAAAATACTATATAGTATCTGAAACAAGACTTTGTCCCTGATTGCCATTCAATTTTAAGGGTACTGAATCTAATATTGAAAACTGGCCTATGTGATATAATTCTCAAGATGCTGCACCCAAAGCCAGAAAAAAAACTGGGTATCTTGACATCATCCATGAAAGTTTGGTTGAGGTATGTCTTAAAGCTTAAAAAAGAAGACATATATAAACCTAAGCAGTACTGGGGCAATATAGCATAAGCTCCGACTGCCAAGGTGAGCTACACATTAACTGTAACACACCTGTGTCCCAGATACTCGTACAAAGTGCAACAGCAGCCTTTAAAGTCTGGTTTTAAATAACAACATTCTTATAAATACAATCAGAAAGTAAAACAGCCTTAGCTTTCCATTTCTTCAAACAATCACAACTGTCATCTGTATAAATACTTGCACATTCTTTCTTCCTGCTTTTTCCTTTCATGGAACTTTCAACATTATGTTGCATTCTGTTTTTCCCTCTCACTTTGTAGCTTACATATAATAAATATCACGCTTCATTATCTTGAACAAAGACCAGTTCACTCCTTCCTAGCCCCGCCTCCACAAAGGAGGGCGGGTCTGGGCCCTGACTAGGTGGCTGACAGGGTAAAGTCCTTCTGGGAAAATTAGTCACTATGTGAAAGTCATCCGGACAGTCCTCATGACAGAATGCAAAATAATGTAAGTACTGAAAAAGTAACGCAAAATAATGTAACTACTGAAAAAGTAATGCAAAATAATGTAAGTATTGAAAAAAGTTAGCGCAAAATAATGTAAGTATTGAAAAGAAAGAGAAGTAAAGTGCAAAACAAATATTGTCCAGGCAAGTGTAGCTCATTTTACTTATCTTTATAAATTAATTGCCAGAATTCATATGCAAGAATATTTGGACATCCGTGCTCTTTTTTTTTATTTTTACTCTAGTTCATGTATGTAACAACATGAAAGATAAAAAATTTCCAGTAAAATACAACTTGCCCTCTCACCTTTAATGACTGATTTTTGAGGAACCTCCTCTCTATCCTGGACCCATGAGGTAACTTCAGAATGATCCTAACAACATCCGGGTCATCTGCTGAGGGCTCCTCAGGAATTTCACTCTTTAATTTCTCTTTTAGTAATTCTCTCTCCTACAATAAAGAGGGACAACTCTGGATCTTGTCTTAATCTGGCCCCAAGACCATATACACTGAAAACAGACCTAAATCAAAATTTTAAATCAGTTTAACTTGGATATAATGTTAATAAAGAGATTAATTTTTATTCATTTGTATGAATTATAATTTTATACAAACCTGCAAATTTTTAAGCACATATATGTTAAATAAATCTACAGATATTCAATATAAAAACTCTGACTTGTTCTAATTCTCAATTTAAGGTCTTCTGATTGTTTAGTTTAACAAATATTTCCATAACAGGTCCCTTTCTTTACCTGTATCATCTCTTGTCTTTTCTTCTCTTCATCTACCAGCCTCTGTTTCTCCTGGTTAATTTTATCTTGTTCTTCTTTTTTCTTCCTCTCCTTAAAAATGAAGGTAATCAAAATGTTTAAAGCTCATCTCAACATATATTATCTTGCAGAAAGATCTTGCTCCAAAAACTTAAACATGGACGCTGATGCTAATACTTACACCAATTACATGAATCAAGCATTCTAAAGACTCCATATAAAGACAAGAGATGTTTGTAAAACATTATGCCCCCCTCCCCCAAATTGAAATTTTTCCAAGTCAAAAAGGGTATAACTCTGTCAAAAATGGCACGATTGTACCCAAAACAGAACCTGACCTACATATTTATCTGATAAATTGGTATACCAAATTTCATTTCAGTATGTGCAATGGTTGTGAAGAAAATGAACGGAAACTGCAAATAATTGGAACTTTTCTAAGTCCAAGAGCATAACTGTATCAAAAATGGCGCGATCGTGCCCAAAACAGAACTTGACCTAGACATTATGTGATATATCTGTATACCAAATTCAGTATGTGCAACGGTTGCGAAGAAAATGAATGGAAACTAAGTGGACAGACAGACCGACCGACAGACAGCAGCAAAGCAGTATGCCCTTCCTTCTTCAAAGGGGGGCATAATAATGCTTCAAATATAGTCAGTGCTGTGGAGTGAGGAGACAAGAAAATCCACTTAATGTGCTGTACTTTTACTCCAGAAAGAGCTATTTCACATAAATGCCTTCATTAAAGAATAAAAATACTAACAAACAAATATCAATTCAATAATGCCAATAAATGTTTTGGTGTCGACAATACATACTTTTTCTTGATCAGCTTTCAGGGATTCTAGATATGCAGCATCCTGCTCTCTCCTCAGTGTCTGGGTGAAGTTCCTCTCTTCCCTGTTACAAATTTTTTGAATATGTATCTTACCTCAAATATTATTTATCAAATATAAACATACAGGTACAGTATAGCTGTTTTCTTGGGAAAAAAATATTGACAAATTGTGTGTAGGGAGATTGGTGCCTGATTACCCCACTGGATTTAATTAATAGGGCTGGGTATTGGCCGGAGATTTCGTATTGCGATATATTGCGATATTTTTAACTGTATTGCGATATGTATTGCAATATTTTGAATGTAATAAAAATGGCATTTTCTTACTATATTTACTTTAATTTACATGCAGAATGTACATATCTATGATAATTAACCAACACGAAAAAAAAATCTTGTTGATTTCATTTAAGTTATGCTCTGAAATGTTCCCACAAAACAACTTCTGACTTACTGTTTGGCTTAATAACAAACTTTCATAAGTCTATTTTTATATTTAATGACAAAATTCCTTAATCTAAAAATATTGCCAATATATCGATATTATGAAATCGTATTGCGATACGATATTTTTTGTCATTGTATTGCAATATATTGAAATATCGATATTATTGCCCAGCCCTATTAATTAACTATATGCAGAAAAGGAAGAATGACCTCTATGTGCAAATTTCCTTACAATGTGAAATGTGTTCTTAATCACATACATTTACAATCTCATGATACATGTACTTTAGCCATCTTGACTAATTTCTTACCTATCAGCACGTGCTGCTATTAGTGAGGCCTCATTATCCTGCATGATTCTCTCTAATTTCTCAATCAGTTCTATGGGTCCTGTAATCAACAATATATGAAGAAATAAATGTGCACAATGCAAGCAGTTAAGACAAGAGGCCCATGGGCCACATTGCTCACCTGAGAAGCTTTGATCATTCTGTTCTTTACCAGATTTCCCCCTTGTTATACATAATGCATCCCCACCCTACCCCACTGATCATAATTTAGATATTTTGAAATCTACATTTTCCTTCCATGGGCACATATGTTTCCTTTTTTGGCCCAGTGGTTCTAGAAGATTTTCAAAGATTTTTCCTATATATTTCTATGTAAAACTTTGATTCCCCTATAATGGCCCCGCCCTTCCCCCGGGGGTCATGATTCCTACAATTTAGCACTACCAGAATGCTTCCACATAAGCTTCTTTTTCTGGCCCAGTGGTTCTTGAGAAGAAGATTTTCAAAGATTTTTCCTATATATTCCTATATAAAACTTTGATTCCCCATTGTGGCCCCGCCCTTCCCCCGGGGGTCATTATTTGAACAATTTAGAATCTACATTATACCAGGATTCTTCCACATAAGTTTCAGCTTTTCTGGCCCAGTGGTTCTTGAGAAGAAGATTTTCAAAGATTTTTCATATATTTCTATGTAAAACTTTGATACCCCATTGTGGCCCCGCCCTTCCCCCGGGGGGTCATGATTCCTACAATTTAGAATTTACACTACCCCAGAACGCTTCCACATAAGCTTCACTTTTTCTGGCCCAGTGGTTCTTGAGAAGAAGATTTTCAAAGATTTTTCCTATATATTTCTATATAAAACTTTTGATTCCCCATTGTGGCCCCGCCCTTCCCCCGATTATTTGAACAATTTAGAATCTACATTATACCAGGATGCTTCCACATAAGTTTCAGCTTTTCTGGCCCAGTGGTTCTTGAGAAGAAGATTTTCAAAGATTTTTCCTATATATTTCTATGTAAAACTTTGATACCCCTTTGTGGCCCCGCCCTTCCCACGGGGGTCATGATTTGAACAATTTAGAATCTACACAACACCAGGATGCTTCCACATAAGTTTCAGCTTTTCTGGCCCAGTGGTTCTTGAGAAGAAGATTTTCAAAGATTTTTCCTATTTATTTCTATATAAAACTTTGATTCCCCATTGTGACCCCGCCCTTCCCCCGGGGGTCATGATTTGAACAATTTAGAATCTACACTATACCAGGATGCTTCCACATAAGCTTCAGCTTTTCTGGCCCAGTGGTTCTTGAGAAGAAGATTTTCAAAGATTTTTCCTATATATTTCTATGTAAAACTTTGATACCCCATTGTGGCCCCGCCCTTCTCCCGGGGGTCATGATGTGAACAATTTAGAATCTACACTATACCAGGATGCTTCCACATAAGTTTCAGCTTTTCTGGCCCAGTGGTTCTTGAGAAGAAGATTTTCAAAGATTTTTCCTATATATTTCTATACAAGAGGCCCACGGGCCTTATAGGTCACCTGAGTATTATGTAACAACTTTCCAGTGACTGTATTTGGTTCGTAATTTAATCAAAAAGCCATGAAATTCACAAATTTTGAAGGAGGCACCATTGCTTATCAAAGGACAGATTTCAAAGCATTAATTTATTTTTAGTCAAAGTGTTTCTATTTTGAAAGAGACCCCTTTCTTCATTATAAGGCCAGCATTTTTTTATGTTTAGGTTTAGTTATGAACATGAGAATTTTTGATAAATCAATTATCAACATTTGTACATTCTTTTTTCACGCCATTCTAATAGGCTCCTTACAACTGGACACATAATACTTACAAATAGGAAAGTAGAACATTTAATTGCTTATATGCAATAGCTACCACGGGCAGTTTTGGGGAGGAAAATAATTTACAGACAGATACTTTTGAAACGAATACATAATTATCTCACCAGCATGTCATTGTGCAGCAAAGTCGTCAACATTTTATTTGTCCTTTGAACGGGTGAAACGTTTTGAATGGCACTCGTATCGATGAATTTTACACTTAACCAAGCTCAGATCTAGCTTTATTTACCCGCCGTTTCATCTTAAAACCGGAAGTGCAAGTTCGTAAATTTGAAATCTCGATCCCGACTCAAATTTGACATCGGAAAGAAAAAAATTGTTTTATTTTTTTCTGAAAATTCAAAACCTTGAGCGGAGGGTTTGTAAAACTGAAAATAAAATAAATCCTGGCCTTAAATATGTAATTAGGTAATTAGGTCATTAACCAGGAGCAAAGGATAAGATGTTCAATGAATTCATGCATTTCACAATTAGAGCCCCACCCTAAAACAAGAACCCCTGACCCTGGGGCCATAAAATTCACAATTTTGGTAGAGGCACTCTTGCTCATTATAACTATGTACTTAGTTAGTTTATTTAATACCCAGGAGCAGAGAAGAAGATTTTCAAAGAATTCATGTATTTTCACTATATAATCAATAGAGCCCCGCCCTAACACCAAACCCCTGAACCTGGGGCCATAAAATTAACAATTTTGGTAGAGGCACTCTTGCTCATCATAACTATGTACTTAGTTAGTTTATTTAATACCCAGGAGTAGAGAAGAAGATTTTCAAAGAAATAATGCATTTTCACTACCTACTTATTGAGCCCCGCCCTAGCACTTGAACCCCTGACCCCAGGGCCATGAATTTCACAATTTTGGTAGAGGACTCATTGCTGATTACAATCATGCAAACAGTTTGACTGCTTGATGTCCAGGAGTACAGAAGAAGATTTTTAAAGATTGCATTAATTTTAGTGGTTTTGGCCCCACCCCTCAGGCCCCAGGGGGGCAGGGATCATGAAATTCACAATTTTTGTTTCCCTTCACCCATAGATGCTTTGTGCCAAATTTGGTTGAAATTGGTTCAGTGGTTGCAGAGAAGAAGCTGAAAAAGTTCAAATGTTAACGCACGGCGCACGACGGACGACGGACGACGCACGACGACGGACGAAAACGGATAGCAATAGGTCACCTGAGTTTACTCAGGTGACCTAATAAAAATTTGATTCCCCATTGTGGCCCCGCCCTTCCCCCGGGGGTCATGATTTGAACAATTTAGAATCTACACTACCCCAGGATGCTTCCACATAAGTTTCAGCTTTACTGGCCCAGTGGTTCTTGAGAAGAAGATTTTTTAATGACCCAACCCTATTTTTCTCTTTTCTTGATTATCTCCCCTTGCGAGGGGATATGTCCCTTCATTTTAACAATTTAAATTCCCCTTCACCCAAGGATGCTTTGTACCAAGTTTGGTCAAAATTGGCCCAGTGGTTCTTGAGAAGAAGTCGAAAATGTGAAAAGTTTACAGACGGACAGACAGATGGACGGACGACGGACAAAATGTGATCAGAAAAGCTCACTTGAGCCTTCGGCTCAGGTGAGCTAAAAAAATTAAAGTTTTACTGTTTTAAGTCCTTCACGTCTAGCAGTTAATGCCTTACCTATTGGTCCCTCTATTCGTGCTACCACTGTCATTCTGTTTTGTCTCAAGACAATCAATGCAAGAAAGGGGTAAGTATTTTCTTTCAATGCCCTGGATACTGTAAAATAAGGCAAGATAAATTACAATTTCAGGCAGATTTACCAGATAATTAATATTACAGATAAAAAATCTCCTTGATTTGGAAATATTTCATAAATGCAAATTTTAAACAACTTTCACTTTCAGTTCTTTGAATGACTTATCTGTATATTTAATCTTTACTCACCTCTAAATCCCTCCGGACTATTTGTATTGCATGCCCAAAACAACATTCTTGTGTTTATAAAATTAATTACTTCTTGATTTCCTAATGTGTTTCTGTTCAAAATAAAAATGAAGTCAAGTTAACTAATTTTACATATTATGTGTTTCAATTAAACAAACATGTATTACATTTGGCTGTGCTTTTTTTGTACTATCTGCAGAGAGCATCTTCAACTAAATCAAATACATATCTGAATATCTTGTGCATAAATATTCATGTAAAGCACATTTAGAAAGTGATTACTGTAAACCAACTTTTATTCGCGTGCGAGAAATTTTCGCGAAGTTCGCGAGAACCTCGTCATCGCGAATATTTCTCGCCGCGAATCGGTCCTTAAAGTGTATGTGTCTATTATCAACAGATCCAAAAACGGCTTGATCGCGAAAATTAATCGTCGCGAACTAGTATATCCCTGGTAAATCGCGAAATAAAGTCGCCGCGAATAAAAGTTGGTTTACAGTAATCAATTCTAAGCTTACTTATTGAAATATACATGTAAATTTCTGCCAAACATCATACATGCCACATTCAATAGGAGAAACCAACAAAACTGCCATTCAACAATCAGTCAATAATTAAAAAAATTATTCACAAATAAAAATAAAATAAATTTGCAGCAGTTAAGAGGAGGAAATTTGGTTCAAAATTTCAACCAAAACTGAATTAAAATTATCATCAATTTAGAGATTCATCACATTTAAAACAGCTAGAAATACACAGAATAATGAATTTTTTTTTTAAATTCAGCATTGCTTATAAATTGCAGAATTACCCATGTGTTTGCAACAAAACATTTAATATTTTGGCTGCACAATCTGTCCTAATCTACATATAAAGTACTTACTTAACAGACTTACCTACAAAAATCAGCGGTGTCTTGGTGATCATCACCATGGAGATAAACACATAGGAACCTTAACTCTCTCTTTGCATCATTCAACGCCTAAAAAAATTTATATTCTGATTAATGCAAACAAACTAGGAATTCAAGAACTGTCTGATCAAATCAATTGTTTTTATCTTTAAAAAAAGCAAAACCTTGGAACCAAATACTAATAGTTACTATATGGATAAGTGTGTTGGAAATCCAAACAAAACTCTTTTTTACTTTCACATTTTTTAACCTAGATATTTCAAACCCTTAGATATCTTTTCTCCACATAAGATTGAGATAAAAAAGTTTGATTGAATCATAGCTGTGAACTCTAAAGAATGCAGCAAGAAATCTGTTAATTTCAACAATAAAATTTCAAAGAAAAATTTTTTTTTTCATCCTCAATAAGAAATGTTATCACTTGCCTGACTATAAGATCCCTGGTAAAACGTTGGATGCGCGCCTCCGAGAGTCTCATCGTATTTGGATATAAAGGCTGTTACATCTCCAACAGGGTCTGTTACATCTACATAAAACAAAAATCATCTTATCATATATAAGCAGTCGATATACATGCATAAGCAGTCGCATTTGTTGAACAAAATAAAATTTCAATTTTTGTTTTCCAAAATAATAAAATCTTCAAACAGGACGAGAGACTTCATACAAAGAAAACACTGCATATTTATTGTATATATCAACTTTAAGCACCATTCTAAACTTTGTGAATACAATGTAATGACAAGTCATTAAGATTTTTATGTGTGTGTATGGGAGAGAGAAGAGAGAAATGGCATGCAATATAGTGAGTGCATAACAGTATTACAAATATAGTCAAACCAACTGCTATATGCATAAGAAAAAAATCTCATAAATGTGCTCAACTATTTTAACGATTTATAAATGTTATGTGTGTTGCTAAAGTGATGAGCTTTGTAAAACTTACTCCTCCTTGGGTCTGGACGAATCAGTCTGACTGAAACAGAAAAATTATCAAGTGAGTCAAATGCTCTCTATTGTATGCTACTACTTCATATCATGCACCTAGATGACTTTACAGTACAATTTCCTTTCATTTTTCTATTTACAATAAATATGAATTTAATACACTAAAAGAAAATTTATTCTAAGATATGAAATTATAAAGTCTCCTTGTGTTGAACAAAAAATAAGAAAATGAAGGAAACACACAGGTATGCTCAGCTAAATACAGTACAGTTTAGAGTGTGTGTGTTTGTGTGTATCGAGGAATATCAGTATTTAGTCACACACAGTATAAATGCAATGCAGAGTGAAAAAGAGAAATATTAAAGATGCTATACAAATACTTCTTCAGCACTTACTTGTAAATCTGATCAAATCTAATAGAGAACTGTAAACAAAACGGAAGGGGAAAAAGATGATGTGGTACAACCATTGGAAAAGGCCTTGAGGTGGAGGTCTGGCCACTGTAAAAACCCTGTATATAAACAAAAAAATAATAAAATAAGAATTCAAAATGCGTTTTAATAAACATATTAGAGCTTAAAGGAAAGACTTTATAAATACGCACTGTCATAGCTTTTAATCTCTGATTGTACAGTCAAAACTCATGGCCGACATATATATAAATATACTTAGATTTTTGCGTATCAATTTTTTATGTGCATTTTCTGTTTGTAAAATTTTGTGTTTTTTCATGATACTTTTGTCCTGTTTTGGAAGAAATGCGTTAAATTTGATAATTTCATCACGACCGAGTAACACGGCTGTGTAAGACGTACGTCTACAGTCGTCGGACAGCACCACTTTTTGGGACCTTTGGTTATCATTTGGTTGGATAACCAAAATTCATTAAAAAAATCCTCAAATTTTGCTTTTCTAGCATTTTGTCATCAATTTAACTCTGGTTTTGAATAAACAGTTAAACAGGTTAGGCTATTTATGTAAAGTACATTAGCTTTGTCATTACTATCTGAGAATATTGCGGTTATCTTCTTTCTTGACAGTCCCTAAAACATATCCTGTACACATGGAAAACATTGCTTCCCAATCTAAGCGTGGGTATGTTTCTATGCAATAAAATTTTGAATTTTATTTTTTGAAATAAAATGATGTTTTTTTGTCAAACACATGAAAGATACTCCTTTAGTGCACATTTTTGTAAAAACAATAACCTGGTTCTCTCGTTTTTGCATGTGGTGCTTTTCTTTAAAATTTACCTTTCACTTTCATTTGCAAGTGTGTTTTGTGTGGGTTTTTTTTTTTGTGATTAAGTTTCATGGACTTTTATTTTTTTAATTAATATTTTGCTATGGAAATTGGGAAATTTACACCTTTCTTTTGGGAAAAAAGTTACCTTTTTTGTCAAATCCTGAAAAAATTGAGAGCCCTGGAAAAAATATATATATAAGCGATCTTCCTTATATATGGGTTGTATAAGAAAATTGCCTTTTTACGAGAAAATTTAATATTCATAACCTTTAATCTCTAAGAAGTAAGAACTCTAGAACATTAAATATACTGTAACAATTTTAATTTTGTTCAAAATTTTGTGTTTATACATTTTTCAAGGTATTCTTACTACCTTAAAAAAGATTCTCTGGTTATTTTGACACCCTCAGGTTGAGTAAATACATTTGGAACACCCTCTCTTTTATTAAAAGTATCCTGTACTGCTATCTACAATAATCAATAAAAGTTAATTATATGTATTATATCTCAACAGAAAAGACCTTTTTTTTAATTCTTTCATTTTTGAGTGCTTTTCTTTAATTTACCTCTATATCCCAGTTATGTTCTTCAAGAATACCTTTACATCTCTCTATGTCTTCAATTCCTGTCAAATCCTGAAAAAATTAAAAAAAAAATTATATTTTATATAATCATGTTTTCTAGTGTTGCAAAATCGGACTAAATTAACAATCGATTATCAAATTGAATCGGAAGCATACAATCGATCATATAATCGATAATTTGAAGTTATCTAACAATATCCCATATAGGGTCATGTCACAGGTCAAATCAAATTTTAAATCAAATCAAGCTGCTCATCGTATATTTGATGAAGCGAATACATCTAAAGTTGTTCAAAATTTTACCTCTGACATGACCCTCTATGGGATGTTGTTAGATGTTAGTGTAGCAAGTATGCAAGAGGATCTAGACTAACATCTAATTTTAATTAGATTGCTGATAGACCCTATCTCTGCAGAATGTGTAGCGTCTTAAATGGAAGCTTTTTACAATACATGGATCTGCAACTCTCTGGTTTTTATGTCCCAATTTTCTCAACCAGAGAGCTACGGATCTGCAACTTCTACTTATATACTAGCCAAATATATTGTGATGTCATCTGATGGAGTTCAAGCTCCAGATGAAATGTTTATATTTGTTTTAATTTAAATTTAAAGCATTTTCAAAGTAGTGAAAGCAACTTGAGTTACTGAGAAATAATGTATTAAATATATTTTTTTTTAAAGTGTGAAAGGATAATCAAAATCAAATAAACAATAAATATTTACATGCTTAGGTAAAAATGTATAATTAGAATAAATCCCTGTCAAAATTTTGAAAGAAAGAAAAATAGTGTTGTACAGTAATGTCCGGTTGTGTTGTTAATAGCGAGCGCAGCGATTTTGGAAGCCACTCGCCATAAAATCTCGCGATAGCGAGCTCAATATACAAATGTGTACCGATATAGACATAGATTTCAAAGCATGTATTTGACATTGTTCAAAGAAATTTTTATCTCACCGCGTGAAAAAATTTTCAAACTCCCAATAATCCTTTGCGGTGCATAGCAACATGGTGGCTAAAAAAGCAACAACTTACTTCAAAATTTTACAAACAACAATTTAATGCAATCTCCAAGCCATGACAAATCTCTACTTTCGTTTTCGTTCATCCGATCATGGGAAATCTATTTATTTAACAAAGATAGGACTTTTTATTAGATTAAACCATGTCATCATTTGTTGTGTTTTACAACTGAACGAACATTCAGTATTATTGCTTCTAGGCTATATCAGCAAAGATCACTCTTCAAAAGGCTAAGTAAACAGCCAGTGAATCAAAGCAAAATGATGAGCGTGAAAAATATTTGAAGGTGTTTTTGTCTACTTCTTTGCAGTTAATATTTAATTATTGTAGTTTTTATTTAAGGCCATACATGCATTGTATATTACATGAAATATATATATTATCTTTAAAATTCTAGTGTAAAACAACGCGCGCGCAATGCTACCGCTTTTGACGACTGAATCTCCATATTTTTCATCACAGTAGGTTAACATGTATGATAAATCCCTGCCAAAATTTTGAAAAAAAGAAAATTAGTGTTGTAATGTCCGGTTGTGTTGTTAATATAGAAATTTATTCATATCTATATTTAGCAAAATTTGTAAGCTATACACTTTATCAAGTGTTTACATGAACCCCCCCCCCCCTTTCTCTTAAATTTAACATAACCTTGAAGAAATTTTCTCTCATTGTTAATATACTAATTACTATTTTGGTAGAATATGAGTCTGCATTCTATTGCATAAACATCAGGATAAAGTACAGAGATCTATTCTATGTTCAATCTAGGTTATTCACATTTTAACGACAATGATTTTTCTTCCGTCTAGTAAATCAATCGTTATTGTCTAATAAAAACGAATAAAACTGTTTATATACTTGAAAATGAAGAAGTTTCTCTGTCTGATCTTGAGAAAGGTCCACATCTCCATTCTCTTCTGCCATGATGATGATTTGTATTGCAACTTCCTGTCACACAGCGCCACCTTGCGATAATCTTTTTAAAACTGTTTTTAAATAAGCTTTTGCATATTATCAATGCAAATCTTAATCAAACCATTGTACAAATTTTAAGTTTACAAAATTTAAAACTAGTTTACTTGAAAATATAAACAAGTTCAATCATCATTATACGGACAGCTTTCGTGTAATTAGTAAAACCCTAAAATATTAGTTTCGTAAATTTATCTATTTAAGAATTAGATAAAATTATTTTTTTACATGCTTCGAAAATACTACTTAATCTTTGGATTAGTAATCATAATTTCTTGTTTCATGTGCAAAAATGAAATAATTGAAATCGCATTATATACGAAACTGCTGATAGCAATCAAACACTGAAATATGTCAGCTTCCGGCACTAAAATGTGGACTTTCACTTTGGTTTTTATCCTGACATTTTCCCTGCCTATTACACTTGCCCTTGAAGTGAAAGAACCACCTACAATAGGTACACAATTTATCATACTGATGCATGATGTCTATTTGCCTCCTTCATCATTTAAACTAACAAATTGTCAACAATGTAGTGATGTGGAACAGCTGTTGGATTCTAAGAAGTTTTCATAAATGGCAAGCAATTAGTATTGGGTTTTAAGGGGAAACATATATGGCAGTTTGATACCTTACAGGTATGTGTGTGGTAGCAGAGGGTGGGGCTTGGAGGATGTTCACATGCACTGAGTTATGGCTCGTGTTTATATTGCAACATAGGTACCTAAGGTAGTACATGGAACAAATTCTATCGTTAAACCAGATCAGTAGGACAATCCCAGTGATTGACAGATTTGTATGTGAAAGGATAGAGTAGTCGCTTGCTCAGACACATGGGTTTTCTCTTGGAACTCCTGTTTTCTCCCTCAGAAATGACCACCTTGCACAAACATCGATCCAAAGGCAGTGACAGTGTACAAAATTCCTGTCTGCCCACACGCCTGAGACACACTAAATTGGGACAGGATATATAAAGTCTACTCCATCTCATCCCACTTGTACGCACCAATTTTACGCTATTCCAGTGTATGAAATTCAGAAAAAATTCAGGTGGACCAGCAGGGCTGACTACTCATAAAGTCTTTCAGCCCTACTGAATAATTAGTATGTCCACATTATTATGATTATGATATTCAGTATTAAAGGCATGCACATATATGTTGACTATTACTCTACCAAGCATAATTTTATGCAAAGACCCAAATTTGATTTTCTTGTAAAATCTGGATGCATTTCTGTATATTTTCCTTCTAACTTGAGGAGTTACATGTCATACACTCATTTTTGAAGTAATTTTTAGAGATGTTGGGTTAATAATTGAAATTGGAGATATTGTTTTTATAGAAAAAATCATTAAAAGAGGTACAAACTCTCTTTTGTAAATTGTACTTCAGAGTTATGCCTGTATGTGAAAAAAATGAAATAAGATAAGAAAAACAAATTCTACCTATGAAACCTACTTTTATTAGCATTTCATAGACTTACAGGTATTGTTGAAGGGGGATTAGAGGAACATAAATGTTGATTTCTTAAAAGTATTATGAGAGAGTGAATTGGAGGAAAAACTTTTTTAAGAAATATGTTACAGGTTCTGTTGTGCCAGAATAATGTCTTTAATTTTACACCTTACAACTTTACAAGTATTGTTAGATGTGAGTCAGAGGATTGACTTGATTTTTTCTTACAGGTATTGTCGGCGGGGGCATCGGAGGAACTTCTACGGCCTATTTCCTCAGACAGCTGTTTGGTAATGATGCTAAAATTGACATTTTTGAGAAGCGGCACATAGGAGGAAGGCTAGCCACACTCACCCTTGGTGACCACCAGTTTGAAGCCGGGGGAACTCTTATTCATCCCAAAAATATGTACATGGTCAACTTTACCAAGTTATTAGGTATGTCTGGTGATAATTGAGAAGCAAAATCAGAAAGATTTTGCTATAAAATGAAAAAAAAAAAAAAATTGTATGCATCAGTGAGGCAAAATTGATCAAAGTTACAAAAATTAACATGATCTGAAGTTTCATTAGTTTATGTAACATTCAATAAACTTAACAATTCCGAGTTAAAGTTATTCCCATAAATGAATTCAAATTTTGGAGACTAAATTCTCTACATGCTTGGTCAGTTTGTTTGCCATTTGCACCAGAAATAGAGTAATGTGCCTTGATAATGATAAATGAACTGGCTTTGTTTAAAAAGAATATTTGGTGATTGTTTTGTTAATGTTTTTTCTATCAGTTGTTGCTGATGTGCTGCCTTCGGTGACAATTTTTGATAATTAATAACAATCACATCATATCAACACTAGGTTGTATATGGCCAAGACTATTTTGTATGGCATTGCCCTTTTTAGCTCTACTGGTTAGAGACCAGAAGAACTAATGCGATTGTAATGTGTCCGTTCGTCTGTCTGTAAACAATTTTTCAAAACGCTATTCCTCCTACAGTTTGTATCTGATTTCAATATAACTAGGCACACAAGAAGACTACACTAAGATACATAAATACAAAATAGTGCATCGGTTTTTGACTCCAATGAACAGTGTTGCCATGGTTACTAAAATAGAATTTTCTGTGAAATTCCTTTAAAACGCTACTTCTTCTACAGTTTTGGTCTGATTTCAATTAATTGGCACACAAGTAGACTACACTGAGGTACATAAAATAGTGCTTCGGATTTTGATTTGGATCAACGGTGTTGCCATGGTTACTAAAATAGAATTTTCTGTGAAATTCCTTTAAAACACTACTTCTTCTACAGTTTTGGTCTGATTTCAATATAATTTGGCACACAAGTTTACACTAAGATACATAAAATAGTGCATCGGTTTTTGATTTCGAACGGTGTTGCCATGGTTAGTGGGTACTAAAAATAGAATTTTCTGTGAAATTCCTTTAAAATGCTACTCCTCTTACAATTTTGGTCTAATTTCAATATAACTTGGCACACAAGTAGACTACACTAAGATATATAAAATAGTGCATCAGTTTTTGATTTCGATGAACACTGTTGCTTTTGTTACTAAAAATAGAAATATCTGTGAAATTCCTTTAAAATGCTACTCCTTCTACAATTTTGGTCTAATGGCAATAGCTTCTTTTCTCATCCTTTGTTATAAGTACAAACCAGTAGAGCTATAGTCTCGACATAGATTTCTGGTTTGTTTATGATATGAGCTGCTACAACATTTATTTAGATGATCAAGAGGATGAACAATTAACAAAGATCAACAATTGTTTTTCACACAGCTGAAAAGGAAGATGTTATTAAATATGAATAATATGCTCATGTACATGTTTACAAATTACATGCACTGTGTTTCTCACCATGACAGAATCTGATGATATGTTATTTTAGATATAATGGAATTCGAATGTCATGCCCACTCTCTCCCCCCCCCCCCCCCCCCCCCCCCCAATTTTTTTTTAACTCAGCCAAAAAACTGTGCAAAATCTGCATAAAATAATTGAAATCCATATCCTATTTCCTGATTTCTCACAATAAAAATAATGACGCTGAGAGGAAAATAAGATAAAACATTATGTAAATTTAAGTAATTCTTAAGCTTTTTATATTTTTTAAAAGATACTCAGTAATGATAAGAGTGCCACATTTACTTCCCATTGTTAGGAGAAGGAGAAAAAATATTCAGTACCCTATACATGTATAATCCCACAGGTCTGGAGCAGATACAGGTTGGTGGGGGAACCTTTGGGATTTTTGATGGGAGCTCCATGAGGGTGACAAGCAGCAAATACAGCCTTGTCACAATGGCCAAGCTCTTTTGGAGATACGGCATGGACATCTATAATATTGACTCATGGATCAATGAGAAACTCCTAAGTAAATTCATGAGGTAAGATTTAAAAGGCGGTTATGTAAATCATGCTAAAAAAAAAAAAGTACAGCAATATTAATAGAATGATATTGCTCATCTTGACTTTGCATCTTTTTAGGATTTATGACATTCAGAGAGCAGGTCATGCCTACACAACTGTTCCTGACCTGATTGGTGCAATGGACCAAGCCTTTGTTTCCTACATGAAGAAATCCATCAAGTTTGTAATGAAGACTGCGGGTTTTGGTGATGCGTTTATTGATGAAATGGTCATGGCTGCCTTAAGAACAAATTACGGTCAAAATACAGAAGTGCCAGGCTTTGTAGGTTTGTATTTAACTAAAAATTGGAGTGAAATATTAGGTTAACCATATGTTTCTTCTTAAAATGAAAAAAAAGACATCACACCAGGAACATAAATGAAATCATATTAAATAGTTAAAGAGACCCTTGAATTTTGCAGCAGGTAACACTATCAGCCAAAATGAAATCTGGGGGATATATTGTTTTTGTTCTACCTAATTTTATTCTTAAGAGTTCATGCAAATTGCTTTGATGATCTTAAATGAAAAATTTCACAGTTAAATTGATCACAAAGTGTAATTATACTTGCATGCAACACATTGGCTCTGGAAATGGAGAAATTGAGATGTATTAAAGTTGACATACAAAATTGGTTACAATAACAATTTTTCAAGTATATCTTATGTTTGTGTCTTACAGGAGCTGTATGTATGGCTGGAGTACAACCAGGACTGTGGGCCGTCAAGGGAGGTAATAAACAGGTGCCCCAGAAATTAGTGACAGAGGCCAAGGCTCAGGTCATTCAGGGGACAGTCATGTCAGTCCAACTCCTGCAATACCAGGATAAAACTTACAGGGTGGAGTACGTCGATTCCGAAAAGAAGGAACAACACAAAGATTACGACATCGTTATCATTGCAACGCCTTTACATGATGAAATGTCTGAAATTGATTTTGAAGATTTCCCAAGTCCTATTGAAAATTTTCCTCAGAAATATCATAAGCTCACTGCTACCTTTGTAGAAGGAACACCAAACTCTAAATATTATGGCATTGATAATGCAGAGGAAGTGCCTACGGAAATTTTAACCTGTAACGACACAATTCTAGTCAATTCTCAGGGTAAAAAAGAAGATGTTCTTGGAAATCCAGCAAATGTTTACAAGGTTTTCTCTAATGTACCACCAAGTGAGGAGAATATAAAACAAATGTTTACCAGTAAAAAAGACATTAGAATGTTTTCTATGATGGCCTACCCAGAATACTCCACAGTCGGGGAAGAGTTACCCCCCTTTGTGCTTCATGATTCACTCTATTATTTAAATGGTATAGAAATGGCCGCTTCTGCCATGGAAATGAGTTCTATTGCAGGGAAAAATGTGGCCCTGTTGGCATACAATCACTGGCATGGAAATCTAGATAAAATTGATGAGCCTTATTTAGACCCAGCCTTGGAAAAAGACAAAACAGAACTCTGAACAGTGCAATGGTTAGGAATATCTTGTATGTTATACATACAAACAAATAATTTTGAATTAGAAGTAATGTTAAATATCTTTAGTTTCAGAGATTCAGTTATCCATGGGATTTCACACTTCTGTTGTAATTTTTTGTTGTAATTTTGTGTGTAGTTCATTGTGAAGTCATTGTTTACTTTACTGGGAAGCATGCATGTAAGAGACTAAATTATTAAGTTTGGGGTTAGTTTTATTGTTTATGTATCTGTTTATATTGTATATTGTAATACTTTTAAAAATGTGTTCCTATACGAATCTATACAAAAAAGTGAAACATTTCTAATGTTTTACTGAGCAGGCATAAAAAATTGATGTTTTACCACTCATTGAGATGTTGGACCTGCCATTGAGATGTTGGACAGACAGATTGTTTTTTTGGGTCCAACAAAAGGCATGCTGCCTTCGAACTCAGTCAATAAATGTATACTGTATCACATATTATTTTGATCAAACAACTGGGGATTTTGTATGAGGTTTTTTTTTTTGGTGCTTGTTAGTCATTCATTATGTCATCATAATACTACATGTATTTATCAATTCATCTCTAGCTCTTAATATTATCAATAATTTTTTTTCTTTATTTTGAATCGTCATATATTACAATTTGACACACAGCAGGTAATTAATTCATGCAAGTCTAACTTTCTTTGCAATAACCCCTGACATTTTTTCATTGTACATGTATATTCATTCACATTTTCAATAATTATCGTATGAAATAATACTAGTCAGTGTTTTCAACATACATGTGTTTCCCCATTTATTGTCTTTTTATGAAGTATAATGTATCATGTCATTTTATTTCTAACTTTTGAATCAGGAGACATCTTCTAGTCCAGTTGATACTGGTATGATGTATTTATATTTTGTCAACAAACTCATCATGGGAACTTATGTCTCAAGATAAAATATTCACCGATTGACGGGTTGATGTCAGTTAGTACGTTTTAATCTTTTTTGTTGACATTTATTAATAAGTGGGTTATGGGAGTATATAGGGATTCAATCATATGAATTTGAATATGTAGATTTGAGGGCACATCCCTAACACTGTCTTCAGTGCTAAATGACACCCCTATTTAGTATTGCTTACTACAGTATATTATGGCTTTCACATTCCATACTTTGATCTTCCACTTGTTTTAGAGCAATTACCGGTAATCTTAGATGTTATGATATATGGTGAATATTGATATGTCAGTGCTGGTAACATCTACATTTGATTGGATAAATATTATGGGTAAATGTATTGTGATTAAAATGTATTATACTGGTATGTTTAAATTTTTATCATACTGACTTACTCTATCAAGTACAATGAAGCGCATTGAAGTGGTAAAATTTCCTGTTTGCATGGAACGTTTTGAGCTATCTTTAGAACGTTGATTGTCATATGATGACATGCCCATTTCTTTAGAAAAGAAAAATCGGTCAAATAGTTCATTCGAATACCTGTGGAACAGGTATTCCATAAATATAATAGCCAATCAAATTGATGGTCTACTTTAACACAGAGTAAGCACGTGTTCGACCAATACACATGTTATGGAAACTCCAATAAACACGATAAATTCATATTTATGTACAGATTCGTTGCAATACGTGTTTTCCAGAAGCTGGAACTCTCTAAATCTCTCTCTTATAACTTTGAAAATCTCGGATTTTGGTTGTAACTCATGTTGCTCATCGCAAAGAATGGGGTGTCTTAAAACATTACGACGAATATTTCTTGTTCGTTCTAAAAAAAAAAATGGGCATGTCATTATGTTATACTGCAGTAATTGACGTTCAAAATATGACTCAGAACGTTTCATCCAAACGGAAAATTTTACCATTTCAATGCACTTCAATGATTGTATTTACCTATCAAATGAAAGCATTGGTGCACAAAGTTCATTTTGTCATATCAGCAAGAATTACTACTATTTTGACACTTATGTTATTTATACCTAAAAGTTATTCTTAAAGTTGGAACAGGTGAAATTAGTATGTTTATTTAAAATCAGTATGGACAGTTGAAATCAGTTTGAACCATTGAATCATATTTAGACTTGCAAAATTAGTATGGGCAGATGAAATCAGAATTTCAGTATGGACAGTTGAATCATTAGTAGACAGTTGACATCAGTGTGGACAGTTGAATCATTATTAGACAGTTGACAGCAATGTGGACAGTTGAATCATTATTAGACAGCTGAAATTATTATGGACAGTTGAATCATTATTAGACAGTTGACATCAGTGTGGACAGTTGAATCATTATTAGACAGTTGACATCAGTGTGGACAGTTGAATCATTATTAGACAGCTGAAATTACTATGGACAGTTGAATCATTATTAGACAGTTGACATCAGTGTGGACAGTTGAATCATTATTAGACAGTTGACATCAATGTGGACAGTTGAATCATTATTAGACACTTGACATTAGTTTGGACAGTTGAATCATTATTAGACAGCTGAAATTAGTATGGACAGTTGAAATCAATGCAACTGGTGAAATCAGTGTGGACAATTGAAAGAACATCTGATTTCAGTACTGTATTGACAGGCACAGACAGGTGAGACGGTCTCCATTTTATTACCTTGTCCCCCGCTTTTCAATATATATCTTTACAAGTTACATACAAGTACCATAACAATTTTCTAGTTGTAGTTATATTAACATTCCTTTTCCATCACAAAAACTTTAACCTTGCCCATAACTTTTGATTTAGTGGAGCTATGACTTTCATATTTCACATGTGTATTCCTTGTGACAAGACCTTTCTTTGGCTATCACCAAATCTGACCTTTGGACCTTGACCTTGGAGTTTGACCCACTTTTACACAAAAATTTCAAACTTTTACTTTTTTCCATAACTTTTGAATTTTTTACTAGGACTTTCATATTTCACATATGTATTGTTTGTGGCAAAACCTTTCATTGGATAACAACAACCTTGACCTTTTGACCTTGACCATATACGTACTTAAAAAAACTTTAACCTTGACCAGAACTTTTGAACGGTGGGGGCTAATTTTTGTATGTAATCCCTGTGAGAAGACCTTTTTTGGATACCAATAACTTTTACCCTTTGACCTTGACCTTGGAAGTTTTAATTACTTTTTAAAAACTTTAACCTTGGTCACAACTTTTAAACAGTAGATAGTCGGACTTTAATATTTCACATATGTATTCCTTGTGGCAAGACATTTCATTGGATATCAACAACCTTGACCTTTTGACCTTGACCTTGGAGATTTACGTACTTATGAAAAATCTTTAACCTTGACCATAACTTTTGAACGGTGGGGGCTAGGGCTTTCGTACTTCACATATGTTTTCCTTTTGAGAAGACCTTTCATTGGATATCAACAACTTTTACCCTTTGACCTTGACATTGGAGTTTTAACTACTTTTAAAAAAAACTTCAACTTTGAACACAACTTGAATACTATTAGGCCTAGAGTTATCAAACTTTGTCAGCTGATACATCTTGGGGAAGGTGTGTCGCGCACAAAAACTAGGTCGCTTGACCTATAATTAAAAAGTTATAGCCAAATATGGAAAAATCCTGTCCGGTCCATAACTTTTGAAAACTATTAGACTTAGAATCATCAAACTTGGAAAACCACTTCATGCATCTTAGGTAGAGGGTGTGTCTTGACCTTGGACCTATTTCAAGGTCACTGTGACCTTTAATTTAAGTGAAATTTTAAAAAAAAAATGTTTTTTTTTCTATTCATTTACACATTCAAAAAAATGTAAAAGTATTGCACTATCCTTATTAGAAAAATGTTAAATCATGAAAAATACTTATTTTTTTTCATATACTTTACAGCAATCTATAACAAATGTAATGTATGTTAAAGAAATTCCACCACTCCCATGAGTTTAATTATCAAGCACTGGTCAAGAAGAATTTTGATAACGGAAAATTGCATGTCAAATTAGAGAGAGAAATTAATGAGTTTAGTGTGAGGAAGAGCATCAGTGCTATCTATATCCCTTGAGTATTAGACCAAATGGGTAATCCTTTTACATTAAAAATGGCTCTTTTGGCTAGCATAAGTTTTAAAATGAATTTGATGAGAAGTAAATAAAACTAATTTGATTTTGCATAATAAACTGTTATGATATTACATAATATTATGAACTTTAAAAAACTAATTTTATGGGGGTGGGGTGGAATCAGCATTGTCCATATGAATTGCATATTAAAACCTGTCTGCCATTAAATCTAATAAAAAAATCATTGAGGTTTTATATGTTTTAAAAATGCTTTATGGTAGAACTGCAGATCAATAATCTCTTGGGAGTAATATATTTCACAAGCATCCAGTTAAAGATTAATTAATGTGTTCAATGTGGCAAGGCTATAGCTGTCTCAATTATATCTTCAGAGCATTATCTTAACTGACAGTGTATCCTTTGGGAATTAGACAGAAGAACTGTTGGTCATTTTATATTTGATGGCCAGCCTTTCATTTTCAAAATTAATTAGGTATAGATTAAGTTGTTAAGCCTAATTTGATAATGTTTAATATGATAGGCATTTGGCAAGGTCTAACACAATTAGTATAGAAGTCTATGAATGATGCAATACATGTATATGTTATAATTAATGCCTACACCACAGGAGATGGATAAACAAATTTTTTAAGGAGTTGAAAAATCATGGAAATCTAAAATCAAGGTTGTCATGATTTTCTTGCACTTTTGATTGTTTAAGATAATTGTAATTTTTTGAGTGGAGTATCATGCTGTGGCGTGGCACTTTATTTTGCTAAGGACCTGTCCCCTCTGATTTTAGCTCTTCTGAGCTGAAGACTCAAAGAGCTTATGCTATGACCTAGTGTGCCTTAATTTATTTGAATGCAGGTCATATCTCGACCACCCTTTGGCCAATATTTTATCAAATTTTAACAAGGAGGATATAAAACAAGATGTGAAACACTGATTCCCTTCTATGGCAGCTTATGTTGAGGGTTTAATTTTCTCAAATACATGTCAAAGGTCAAGGTCAAAATCATTCGTACCCAAAGGAAAGTCCGATCACAATTGGAATACACTTGTGATATATGAAAGCCCTTGTTTTAACTGTTCAAAAGTTATGGCCATGGTTAAGGTTTTTAAAAAGTTGGTCAAAATCTAAGGTCAAGGCCCAAAACATTTACACCTACTGAAAGGTCTTTCACAATGAATACACCGGTGAAGTATGAAAGCCATAGCACCAACTGTTCAAAACTATTGAATCAAAAGTTATGACCAAGTTTAAAGTGTGATAATTTTTTGTAAAAGCGAGTCAAACTCCAAGGTGAAAAGGTCAAATTTGGTTACCTAAAGAAAGGGCTTGTCACAAGGAACCTGTGAAATAGGAAAGCCATAGTCCAACCCACTCAAAAGTTATGAGCAAGTGAAATAGTCTTATGTGCTGGCACGAAAAGAATCCCTCCCTGCTCAATAACAGTAAGTACCGAGCATAGGACAAAATTGCAGCTCTCCATCGACAAGTGGTGTCGCCCGCGTGGCACATTAGTTAGACCGTCTGCTCTAGAGTCGCGAAGTAAGGAGTTGATCCTTGCGTTGCGGGTTCGAATCCCTTTGTGGGACTTGGAGATCGATCATTTGGATGAGACCGTATAAATCGAGGTCCCGTGTCGCAGTAGGTGCTGACACGATAAAGATCCCTCCCTGCTCAATGGCCCTGAGTGCTGAGTATAGTGTCTTTCTAGTAGTACTAGTAGTCATAATGCATATTTTTATTGATAAATAGAAAGTATATCAGAAAGACAATAGGACAAAATTTGCAGCTCTCCACCGGCAAGTGGTGGCGTCTCCGTATGAGTGAAAAATTCTCGAGAGGGACGTAAACAATATACAATCAATCAATCAATCAATCGGCAAGTGTTGACGTCTCCATAGAGAAAAATTCTCGAGAGGGACATACGTATTACAAACATTGGGCCAACATGCTACTACCAACTCGATAAAACACTTTCTTGAAGGGTGCATTACAAACATTGGGCCAACGTTGGGCCAACAATACTATTACCAACTTGATAAGACACTTTTTAAGGACATAGTACGAACATTTGGCCAACGTTGGGCCAATACTACTACCAACTTGATAAGACACTTTCTGTAAGGGTGTATTACAAACATTGGGCCAACATCGGGGCAACATACTACTACCAACTTGATAGGACTCATTATTCATGGGTGTATTACAGACATTGGGCCAACGTTAGGCCAACATACTACTACCAACTTGATAAGACTCATTCTTTATGGGTGTATTACAAACATCGGGCCAACGTTGGGCCAATATCAACATCCCTCCTTCCTTGGAAAGTAAAGTGAATGGAAGTTGCTAACGTTGGACTAACGTAGTCCAACATAGGAATTTTTATTGATAAATAGAAAGTATATTGACAATAGGTAACATTGGCTTCCAACCGTTGGCCCAACGCTGTTCCCCCAACGCCAACCATACAACCTCTTGCCAATGTTGGCCCAACATAGTCATGCTATCTGGGATGAAAGAACATACAATCAGTCAATCCTGTAATTTCAAAGTTAATGGTGATTTTGAGGCCCTGATGGCCCTTTACAATCCGTACATGGTACTTATCATAGTCATTTTTCAAGATGATTTCTTTACTTTAATTTTAAAAGCTTTGTCCCCTCTCCCCAAAACTAATTAATGAAGCATTACATTTTACTAAGAGGAGGTCCTTAACATCTAGAGCTGTGCACATGCACAGTGACCCCGACCAGAAATCATGGTAAGGCAAATCACGTAAAATAGTAGAAAGCAAAGAATTACTCTCCTTCATATTGACAAGATTATGACTCGCAAAAGATACTAGTATATACAGACTTCAGATGTGCGCATGTAGTTTTGTCAATGAATAAATGTGCTCTAAAATGAATAAAATATCGTCAATTTTACTTCATATAATTTTTTTTATTGTTTATGCCTGGAGGTATACATGTAATATTACCCCACCTCTGTTGATTTTTCGACGAAATCCTGGCTTACGATAGGTTGAAGTCTGTCACGTGAAGGTGTGGATTAATTTGAAAATCAATACATACGTAGTCGATGCGACCGAGTTATCGTTCGAAGAAAACTCGAATTTACGAGGTTTGCCGTGTGTCTGCAGTTGAAAAGGAATATAAAGTTAAGTAAATAACGAAAGAAAGATTTTTTCATTTACTGAACGTCTTCACTCTTCAACTTATAATACAATACAATACAATCATATACATACTAAGGTATTCAACAAATCTTTAAAACAATCCGTTAATTGTATGGTACAATCTGATAAAAATGAACAAAGATGTTTCCATACATGATGCCTTACATTAATATCAAACAATCCTGTAAATGTAGGTAAATAAAAAAAACTTGAAATTTTATCAACACTGCACTATCCATTTCTTATCAAATTAAACATTTTCTTCCTCGCATCGACATATTATATTAATCAATATGAATAATGTAAAAATATATAAAACATATTTTCATTAATAATAAATTATAGTATGAAAGTGAGTTGGAATGAAAATAACGCATTTTAAAAAGGAAAATAACACATTCAAGAGGTAAAAAAAACTTGCATACTTTATGATATAATAAAAATATAACATAGAAAATTTAGTTACAATCTCTTACGTATATGGCAAAAATATTGCAAGAAAAGGACAATATTAAAATCACAGGGCTTTTGAACACTCGGGTCAGAGGAACTGGATAAATAAAAACAAGGTAAACAAAGAAACAAATTAAAATATAAGTAACATATGATTGTTTAATCTGAATTCTGAGATAAACAATACATTATATTAAGTACATTATGCGTAAATCAACGGTATTTATATACCAGAATTTAATTATACTTAAAGTTACAATTAATCACACAAGTCCAATATATGTATGTAATACACTGGTAGTGCTTTTTTAATACTGCCAAAAAAGGGGGTATGACACAGCATTTGGCTGCTTGGAGAGATCACAACATGCATGTTTACTTTTCAGATATGTATTGTAACAACTTCGTACTTCTAAGTCATTTTTTTCATTTTTCAATAATTTTGTATTTCTCCAATATCTTCACTCCAGAATCCCTTTAGTTATGGCAAATATTACCAGCAGTACAACAAAAACAATCAGTAGCATACAGAATATTTTTCTTCTTTTCATTTGCTCCTAAAATACAAAACATCAATATGGAGCCCAAACACACAAGATTAATACTGATATTTTTCTTCAACTGTAAAAATTCATGTAAAAAAAAAATTAATTAAATTCACTAACTTCTATAGCTGTATCCTCTGGATAAAATGAAGCTATGTACCTGTCTTGTCTGCAATCTCTGTCATTTGTCTGGCCTGCCAAGGAATAAAAATATTTATAACATAAAAACTTTTTTGTTTACTTTTTGACAACTTAGACGATTAACTATTCACATGAAATTTTCGCCCTCGTTTTGATTTCGCCGCTTTGGCCCTCGTCACAGCCGGGCGAATTTAGATTGCGATAAATAAGTTAAAAATGCGATCACCAGTTATAATTTATTGATGCAAACGTCACTGAACCACATATTTCATGCATTATGTAGAAATTATCCTTTACATCACCTGCAAGGTTTACAATCTTCTGACTTAATTGATACTCAACAACAACGACCTGCGTACGATCAATTTTTGTACTAAGGTAAGTTACTGACAAGTAAGTGGATGTTACAAGGATATCAACAATTTTACCTCATCCAAAATCGGCATTCCTTCAATTCCACATGGGCGTTATGACCTCTGTGCGTTATCTTCACCTATTCCATTACTTTTATCATCTTTACTTCGCGGGTTCGAATCCAACTGTGGGATGTTGAGACCGGCCCTTCGGATAAGACCGTATAAACTGAGTCCCCGTATCGCAGTAGGTGTTGGCACGAGAAAGATCCATCACTGCTCAATGACCCCAAGTACCGAGTCTAGGACAAAATTTGTAGCTCTCCACCAGCAAGAAGTGACGTCTCCATATGAGTGAAAAATTCTCAAGAGGGACGTTAAACAACAAACAAATCTTACCCAGATAAGTTCCTGTAGGACTGACGACAGGATAACCCGGAGGAGGCGGATAGTGATTGGCTGGAAAATAGGAGGGATATTCAGTAGGATATGGTGGACACTGTCGACTAGGGAATGCTACATCTATGTGAATATCGTCAGAGTTCAGTGAGTAAGGTGGCGGTTCTCCTGTTGATTCTGTGGTGGATCCACTAAAACCACAAGAAACGGGGGTGTAGCCCTGGATTTGCGGAACCATAAATGGATTGCTGGACGTTGCCTCTTCGTATGAAGGAGGTGCTTCATTTTGATGCATCTAACAACATTTTGATATCAATGTACATACAGATAAGCAATATGATTTATACCTTCACACGTACGTAGACTTACATTTTGTTTTATTAAAAGAATTTTATATATAAATTTTATAAAATCTCTATTTAAAACACCCCCTGACAAATTTCAATTGCACTAGCCTCATGAAAAAGATGAAACTCCAATCTGTCATTAGTACTTAGAAATGAAAGTACATGTATACATTGCAGGTAGGCCTATTTGTTCGTGTCTTTCTAAGCACATCGTCAAATTTATCTCCTTTCTTGGAGGGAGAAAAATCAAAGATATTTTCTGGTTACAATTTGTCAGTTTTTCAATTTTTTCCCCATTCAATGCATCTGTTTTTTTGCAAATTCCATCATATATACGTGTTGCTGAATTACATTGTTTACTTTGCATATAAAATAGATTGTGTGTTAGATACATTTTATTTTATTTTCATCCCGCTTCTCTCATGGTTTGTAGGTCTTCAGCAAATGTAAACTAGTAATCAGTAAACTAGTAATCAGATAATAAAATAATTATTGCCGTTTTTTCAGTCGTACAATATTCGCCTCGCTCTTCGGGCTAGTGAATATTTTACTCCTCGGGTAGCTAGTTCTTATCATCATATATATACTGCCCTAAAAAAATTACATGCACATATAATGTATCAAATGCGTCGTAATTTACATGCATTTTGCGTACACTAAAGGCACCTTGAAAACTGATATCAAAAACACTTCTGGCGAATACTGTATACATGTAAATATAAATGCTTCAGGCCCCATTTAGCAAATTGTAGCTAGGCACGATAGTACTTGCATGTATACAAAATAACTAGGTTTCTAGAAGTCACAAAGGATAAGTATTCAACAAAAAAATACCTCCTTTTGATAGCATTTATGCATATTCTAAATCGTTGTCCACCTTCTGAGGATATCCATACATTTGTAGATGAGTCCTATTACCATGTGTTAGACTTCAACAGCAGAACCAAAGAAGAATATTATAGTATGGTTTCGTAATAAAGGAGAGAAAAAATAGTGTATACCGGATGTAGGTTAATTAAGCTAATATAAGAGGAGAGATTCATCTTTCCGAGTTCTATCCACAACAAGAGAATAAACACTAGCAATTCATTCAGGTATAGCATATAGTGGTTCACGGCAGTGACAAGCATTTTGTATGGAAGTTTTGTCTGGGCGTGATTTACCCTAGCATATAGTGGTTCACGGCGAAAAACTTTTACTGTGACTTGGCGCTGCGCGTAACGAGATTGTTAAGAAGCATAGGGCGTTAAGAGGGACTGAAAACAATTTAACATTTACCTGAATTTATTTTTCAAAATTAAGGAACACACAAGATAGTATATAGAAGTTTATATTAAGTTTATATATGTAAATTTACAAGATGCTTAGAAAGTTAATAATTAACTGGGGATCGAATACCTGCATAAAGCCATTATAATTAATTTTAAGTAATATCAAATTAATATGAAATAGAGATACTACTATATTTAATAAAGAAATATAAAAGAGAAAAATATTATTTAAAATAGTATAGTAAGCAATCGTCAACTTCCCTTATTTATGTAGGCAATATTTACTATTTTCACCTACATAGCAGTGAAGTTTTTGGTCTCCCGATAGAAGGAGAAAAGCTATTTACAAATAAAATAATGATACAAGGATATCAGACAACCGACTCGTTTGAAGGTCCAAGTTTTGCATTTGTTTATGGTCGATACATTGACTTTGACAGCAAATACAATCTATGGTGTTGACAGACTTTTTCAAACAAATAGTTATAGGACAAAATTATTTTCAATCTGAACTGTCTACGTTTTTTTTTTCGTTTTTCCAATCATAAAAAGGAGCACACGGCGGAAGAGACGGTTGACAGGGATGCTTATTTCTTTATGGCATCTGATTCTATATCTCTTGATATTTTAACTGTTCCGTTTCTAATTTGTATTGTTTCTATGAACGTTTGTGGTTTGCGTTATTACAGATAGTTATCGTTACGTTTGGATTATAGATGCATTTAAACAATAAAATATATACATGTATAGATCAAACGAAAGTAAAAATCAGTAAAATATGAAAAACTGTTCAGCAGAATAATAAATAAACCTTTGAGGAAAAACAATTCTTGAAATATTTGACCCCAAAACATTTTAACAAAATGAATATACCGACTAGGTCAATGTTATTTCTAGCATGACAAATGAATTTGAAATCCCAAGGGACATCAATTTTCAGTCGTTTCCATGCTTATACAAAGCTAATCATGCAATGTTTTACCCTAGCTCATTTTCACATGAAACTATTTAACTGTCAAGTTTGTCTAGGTAGACTAAGAAATCTTCAATACTCTTTATGAAAAGATTTTGAATATGACCTTTTTATGTTTTTACCAAATAAACAAACAAAAGTAACTTTTTGTTGTGCATTTATTTTTATTTCCCAAGTTATATCTGGGTGTATTGTTTGGCCATTTTTTACATATCTGGATAAATTCATGAGATATATGAGTAAATATATACAATTTTTTTCATTATTACACATTTTTTAAGAAGAATGTATCAAACAAAAATAAAGAACGTAATTACATGCAACTCATGTTGTAAGGGGGCGAAACTTTGATTTAAAAAAAGGCATTACATGTATTTAAACGAAGCCATTCATTTATTATCACAATTACACATTATGTCATTAAATAAAGCAAACATTACATAAAATGAGATACAATATGATATTTAACCCTAATCAATATGATTTCATAAAGATCTCTGGATAACACAGTTTTTTTTTACTTAATTTTTTTTTTTTAAAAATCTTTGAAAATACAATATGATATGTCATTTTAATTTAATTCTGTTTACAGTTTTAGAAATTTTTACACAATTACCAAACTTTCATTTTACAAAATGGTGCAAATTAAATCTTGCTTAATCCTAATATCAATGGATCCATAGAAATTGGCCAAATTTAATAACATTCTGAATTTGACAATATTTGAAACAATTGTCCTTATAGGCCAAGATCTAGGAATGCATAACATCTGGATTAGACAAGTTTAATTCAAAGTTATTGACATACATGTACACAAATAGTGCCTACAATATCAATATCTCAAATTGTATGAAGGGCACTTTCATATCTCAATATCAGAAATTCTAGGATATTTTGAAGTTTGTCCTACCCATATCATGTTTGAGATAACAAGGTTTGACTGCATGTCTTTTGAAGTTACATGCATAAATAGTATTTTTATTTATTTCTAAACTTATTGCCAGTTTAAAAAACAAACAAACAAACAACAACTTATCCTTTTCTTTAAGACTCATGGCATGAGTATGTTATTCAGGACTCTACAGATCCAAGTTATTTTTAAAAAATTGAAAATTAAGAAACAATTGTAGTTTCTTAAGAAAACTGACTAGAAAGTGAAGTTTTAAATTAGAGGCCAAAGGTCAGGGTCAAGTTTGAACTGAATCTCAGCAAGCCAGATGCACAAGTAATAGTATGTAGATCAGATTCTAAATATAAAAGGTAATACACAATAGTATTAGATTAGATTCAAATATATAAAAGGTCAAACACAACAGAAAAAAGTGTTAAAGGCTCAACAGTAGGACATTACAGTTAATCAACATATTTTGCATCACAATCCAACCAATTCTATTCACATACATTACTTATAAAGTAAAAATACCACAGTAAAGAACAGTGTAAAAACAATTGCACATTTGTGTACATCATACACGTAGATATAAAAATATTCAAAATTAAAATAAAATCACCTTTGGGAAAATAATTTATAATTTAAAACAAGGAAAACACAAGGGGGAGGGGGGACAAAATAAAAGAGTTTGTAAAAATGACCCACCACACTAGTTGCAGACATGCTTCAAGCTGAAGCACATGTAATGGGTCACTTGTTGCATATTTTGGAGAAACATTTTACGATGTTTTAACAAACAATAAAATGAATATGAAATAACATATAATGATAAATGTTCAAACACCAAATGTTACCTATAACTCATGAAAATATGTAGTGTGAGGCACATAATTTGTTTCTTTGAATAATACTTAGTTTATTCTGTTGCAAAATGGAGTTAATTCAGTGTTTTGAAATTATGATTAATTAATTGGTGAATTAAGCCAATGTTTCATAATGCTTGCTCTGCATAATACAAATGTAATGCTATTAAAGACGGGTGTTATGAAGACACTTGCAAGTAGCCACTATGTGTCAGTTTGGTCTCGTTTCAGAATTCATCTATCTAATACAAGTTAAAAAATATTATCATTTCATATCCAAAATAAAGTAAAATTGATAAAATTCTGAAAAACTCAATTTCATTAGAACAATAGAATTTATACAAAATACTAGATTTAAAAACAAATCTTGATGAAAAGTTCTTCTCAGATCATTAAATATATAACACTGCCTTTGTTTACATTTCCAATCTTGTCCTGAGCTCCTATAAAAAAATGTGCAATCTAATACGTAAAACCAAGGAAGATTTTAACATTTACAAAAATAAAAAAAAAACTTGCATTCTATATCGAAGTATAACCTAATGTATTTATGAATGTTTTTTTTTCAAGTAGAGGTCACCGGTTAGACATTTGCTCTACTGGTTTGAATGTATATGTATTATAACATGAAATGTGTGGGTGGATCTAGATTTTTTTCAATGTTTAACGGCAGATGAATAAAAATGCAGACAAGGCTAATTCTTAATAAAATACATGACCTAAAGATTTGACAAATTTAAATATTCTACAATACTGTACTAAATCCAAATATTTACCTGCAATAAATTGATCTTATGTTAGAAACCACCTCGTCACTGCAAATATCACCAGTAGCATTATGAAAATAAAGATGGTCATAAAAATTATCTTCCTTCTTCTAATCCGTCTCTGGAAAAAAAAAATAACCTCAACTCAGAAAGGATAAATAATTCTCATACTTACGTATTTTTTGCTGATAAAATAAAAAGCTTTACAATTAATTATAAATGTTCTGAAATCTTTACATTCTGTTTACTTAAAATTAAGGATTTTTTAAGGGTTAGATTTTTTTTGGTTTCTTATTTGAAAATTTGAAAGAATTTTATGCATAATAATTTTACTTTATAACACTGTTTGAAATAACTTTGCCTCAACCACCAAGGATGCATTAATTTTAGAAAATTACTGCTTAGAAAAAAAAGTTGTAGCATAAATTGGTTGGAAGAAATAAATAATATTGTACTCACATCCATATCAGCAGCAAACTGCGGTGTTTGACCATATTGGCCATACTGTCCCCCACATGTCTGACCTAATAATAAATGACACCTTACCATTAAAAAAGAGTCAATTTTACACTGGCAAAATCAGTGTAAAGATGGTTCAAATATGAGAGCTAAGTATATAAATATCTTGCTGGAATAATAAAAGTAGTTTCCACTTCAAATTCTGTCTTGAAAATATGACAGTTATTTTGTAATATCTTTCAATTGGAGTTTAAAGTTTCTACAGAAAGTATAATTGTTCAAAAGAGTCTCTTCAAATCATTTCATGTAAATTGCTTCCTATTTTTTTCTTTGATAATGCTTTTTTGCATTACAGCACAATATATTAAAGAAACACTCTACTGAGCCATCATCTCTGACAAGATTTAACCTGGGTAGCCTCCTGTTGTGTTTGTGACTGGATATCCAGAAGGGGGAGGATACTGGTTAGCCGGATAGTTGGCTGGATATGAGGGATACTGTGGATAGGTGAACCCTCCTACTCCCTCAGAATTCCCCGGGTAAGGTGGCACTCCTGGAGGGGGTCCCCCGTATCCTCCCTGGACTGGAGTGTAACCCTGGAGGGGTTGTGTTCCACCAGTGGTGGGGTTGGTAGATGTTGCTTCTTCATATGATGGAGGTGCCCCTTGCTTTGATGCATCTAAAATTAATAAATTAATAATTTGAAATGCATGCACATAATCATGGAAATGTACAAATGAATTGTATATGATTTTTTTTACCATAGTCTAAAAGGTTACTGTAAAATCTAATATTTTTGTGGGGGTTTAATTTTCTTGAAATTAGGAAACTAAATGGGTTTCACTTGCGCATTTGACAAAGTGGACAAAGAGGGGTATATGGTATATGACATTTTATATTTCATGGTGGATTTGTTGGTCTCTTCTTAGCTCAAAAACAATGAAAATTAGACTCTTATGAAAATTAGTGTTTTTACAATAATTCTGACAGATTTCCTGTCTATTTATGATGAAGTAATTTATGTAATCATTGCTTGTCAAAGCCCGCTTCAACAAATGTTAATACTTAGTAACAAGTTAATTTACAAAGCAAGGCAAATCTCACATTTTTCTACTTTGTGTGAATACTGATATCAATATCCCTGCAAGTAGGACCAATTACTGGGGATGGACCTGCTCCAAATATCTTAACTGTTTTCTTATTCAGAAAATGTAGTTCTAGCATCCAAAGGAAATCCTGGTATTGTCCATCCTCAGTTGCATCATCTTTGCAAGTTAAATCATAGTTGGAGCATCCAAGGCCGTAACTAGGCTCAATTTTTTTGTGAGGCAAGGGTGCTGGACATACCTAGTCCCAGACGGGGCAAGGTTAGTACCTGATAGCCAGTGATGGGGGTTTCCCTGAAAACTGGCCCCAGGATCATGAAGCATCCTAAGCTTAAATCAAAATCTTCATGTTATACTTAAATATTGTGGAAGTCAAGCAGATCCAAAATAAAACGTTTCGATATTGATTCACAAAAATGTTGTTATTTCCAAAATTTGAGATTAATTCAATAATTAATAAACATTTCACAGGGAATTGAAAATTTGAATTAAGTCTAAGTCTGCTTCATGATCCTGGGGCCAGTTTATTAGAAAATAAAAGATTTAATCTTATAAAGTTTTTACGTTTTGAATTGTCGTCCATGTAGCATGTACAGTGGTTAGAGCGACTAGGCTCTAGAGTCGCAGAGTATAAGGAGTTGATCCTTACATCGCGGGTTTGAATCCCATTGTGGGATGTAGAGTCTGGTCCTTCGGATGAGACCGTAAAAAAATAGAGGTCCTATATGTTACAGTAAGTGATGGCACGAAAAGATCTCTCTCTCTCTCTTCCTGTTCAATCATCTTCAGTGACCCTGAAAGCCTGGTGATTTTGTGGGGCATTTCGATGATTATGCCACGGGGCATTCCGGTTATTCGTGTTACCCCAGTACATATTTAAAACCTGAAGCCCTCCACCGGCAAGTACACTGGTGTCTCAATATGAATGAGAAATTTTTAGAAGGGATGTTAAACAATCAAACAATTTTACAAAACAACCATTTTGAATTATATTTTCCATGCTTTCTAAATAGAAATGAGGCATGCACCTGGTGAGATGAACGAATTACAGAAATAATTGAAAAAAAGTTGAAAATTATAATTAATTCAGCACGAAGACACACATACAAGTAATTCATAAGTTCAACGTATTACTTTTTAGCTTTTCTGAAAAACTCTAAAAATTTAGTGAGGCATTTGCCTCACTTGCCTCAATGATAGTTACGGCCTTGGCATCTCAAAATAATATTGAAACACTGATACTAACACCAATATTAATGCCAGGGGTATACATGTACCATAACTTATCCCAACTTTGTCGATCAATTCACTTTGATTCGTGTTTGAACACCTCAAGTGCAACTGCCATCATTTATCACCTGCTGGGTCAGTTATCTAAACTGTTACTTTAATAGCAAAACCTTAAAATTTATACTTATTTTCATTTCTTTCTTTCTTTTCTCTGGTAAATCATTTGAAAGTGGCAAAGATTTGAAAGCAAGCAGTATGCATGTTCTCATCCATAACCCCCTCTTTTACAGATTTCTCATCTTTTCTATTTGATATAGGAATATTTTTTCCTTTTTATATGGTACGGAAACAAAAAGCACATAATGTCAGACATTAGTAAAATTGATAGTTTCAAGCATAGACATATAAGTTGTTTCAATTGAATTCATGTTGCTGCTGTACCAAAATGTCAACTCCAACAGTTGGATGTCCACTTGTAACCTACAGCCAATGTACGAGTGGATTCCCTAATGTACATTAAAATTAATCAAGTCATTTAGTGTCTTATAACTGTTCCAATTTTGTTAAAAATTAATAATTTCAGATAAAATACTAAACATGCAAAATATTCACAATTCTAGTCTTACGCAATAGATCTGTTAATGTTTTAAATCCGCTAAAATATCTGACGTTTAAATATACTTTGCCATCTTTTTTGATTAATTTTCCTATAGTCTGTATAAAAAATGGATAAATCTAAACAAATATACCTTCGTTTGTTAACATTTCCTGATCTAGCCTTCTAGGTTGATATCAGTCGCAGATCCAAGAAAACACCGGAAATAGAATTATAAAATAAAGTTGAAAATCTTAAAAGTATAAGGTCACACCTATTTTTTCCGGATAACCAAATGATGGATACACAAATTTCTTCTACGTTGCTAATGAGATCCAAGTAAATAGATACAAAATTATCACAATCAATCACTCAAAAAAGCTATGGAATATTTTAATAGATACATATATTGGCCCTTACTTTTCCCCAACTGAAACCAGAGACATACAATGAAGCGCATTGAAGTGGTAAAATTTTCCGTTTGGATGAAACGTTCTGAGTCATGTTTTGAACGTCAATTATAACATAATGACACGCCCATATTTTTAGAAATGAGAAAGAAATATTCGTCGTTATGTTTTAGGACATCCCACTCTTCGAGACAAGGAACATGAGTTACATTGAAATGGAGCTTTAAAAGGATAAGAAGGGAGAGTTAGAGACTCCCCGCTTCTGTAAAACACAAATTGCAACGACTATATATATTTGCATATTTCTGAATCATGTCTGTTGAAGTTACCAGAACACATGTTTCAGTCGAACACATGCTTACTCAGTGTTTATTTAGACTGTCAATTTGATTGGCTATTAGATTTATTTAGACTGTCAATTTGATTGGCTATTATATTTATGGAAAACCTGTTCTACAGGTATTCGAATAAACAAATTGGGTACAAGTCAAAACGGCACCTGGTGAAAACGGCATTTAGGAAATATGCAAAACGGCACTTGAGAGTAGTCAAAACGGCAATTTTTATTTTGAGAATTTGATATTGTTTATACAGAAAATGGATCTTTATACATTACATATATAGTAATAAATGTGTCGTTTTAACCAAGTGCCGTTTTGCATATTCCAGGTGCCGTTTTCACCAGGTGCCATTTTCACTAGGTACCGTTCTAACCATAATTCAACAAATTGACCGCTTTATCTATTTCTAAAGAAAGGGGCGTGTCATCCTATGACAAACAATGTTCTAAAGATAGCTCAAAACGTTCCATTCGAACGGAAAATTTTACCACTTCAATCCGCTTCATTGTAAATAAATGTTATTTATGTCTGCTGAAACACAATTTTTTGCTTCTGAAAGGTTGACCCCCACTAGGACCTATTTTTTTCTGATGTATAGTCAAATAAGAGTAATGTAGAACTGTGTGAAAAAATGTTACTGAGAGATGGAAGAAGACCCCCCCCCCCCGATAACAGATGCTTAAAATTAGAGCATACATTTGTAGTCTTTGTTTGGCCTGCCATTGTAAACTTCCGGTTTATGAGGTTGTAAAACAGATGTGGATACTTGAAAGTTCCTAGGAACTTTTTGAAATCACAATTTTTTTTTCAAAAATCAACAGTAGAAAATCTTACGACTAAGCTCTCCCAACGAAAAGTTTCTTATTGTACACACAAGTACTATGAAGTTGATAATAAAAAGAAGTGTGTGTTTCTGGTTGAAAATACCGATGTGGTTTTTAGAGACTAGGTCTTCAAACATTCTGTTGGAATTCTCATGGGTACCAATTGTGCCTCGCTATTAACAGACCTAATTTTGTATTCATACGAAGCAGAATTTATTCAAAATCCTATACATATGTACACGAGAAGAAGAAAACCTTTGTTGTGGCGAGAAAAAAAAACACTTGTGGTGGCATACAACTCGAAATAGATACATCAACGACATATTATCAATTAACAGTGTGCATTTTCATTCATATGTCGACATGATATTAACCAGAGAGTTTGAAATAAAAGATACCACACGGTTTGGCACGTTTCATATCTGGATATTTTAATTAAAAAGACATCAATGGTAACCTAGCTAACAGCAACGCTTTATAATATTTAAGGTGATGACTTGACTTTAACTGTTCAATCGTTTACTTCCATACCATTAAGTCAAATGCTGACTGACTCTTTTTATATTTATGAATTGTAAGGCCATTATTAACATCGACGGATTTTCCCGTTTGTTTCCCGATCATGACTAGGAGTACCTGCCGTGTTACCGGTCGGCAGTTGGGGATTCTTACACCTCCATGACCCTTGATCCAAACTCTAATGTTTTAAAGGTTCGTGTCTGCTCTGTGCCTGATTCGTATTGTTTGAATGGATGTCTAAGATTTAATACTGCTCATTATCTCCTACAAGTATACGAGGGGTGATCAAAAAGTTCGCAAACTATCTCTATATCTACAAAACCACAATTTAGATTAGAATGAAATTCGGTACACACATGGCCATACACAAGTTCTATAAATAGCATATGCTGAATAAAGTTTCTCTCCTTGTTTGTGACGTCACAATGTGAAAATGACGTCACTAGTTAGGTCACTTGTGACGAAAAATGGTTGTTTCAGTCGAACTCGTTCAACAAACGACTGTACAATTTATTGTATATCTTAGAAATCCCTCTACAGTATCATATAGGAATTTGTACACAGTTTATTGAGATAAATGAGTTCCTATAAATTCAATTAATGATTGAATTAAACGTTTTAGTGAAGGAAGGCTGATGGTTAAAAATGATACTTGTCATCTTGCCCAGTGAGAGCAAGTTTGAAAAGATATGTATTTTTAATTAATAAGCAATTTGCTATTAAAGACCTCCAATTAGCACTTTGAAAAATAGCTGAATATTTGAACAATGATATAAGTATTAAATACCTAAGATATCGTTTACTTTAGATTTTAAACATGTTAGATATGATAAAATGAATGCACCCATCCAACTTGAATAAAGGTCTCTCCTGAGACAGAAGATTTGTGTTTTAATGGTCGCCATGCTTATTTTTGGAAAGGATATTATTATCCACCCATTCTGTTGCCGAGATATGACCATTTCTGACAAATGAACTGTTCTTGTCATAAAAATTAACTCACATGGAAAGAAATTTAAAACTCGGAAAAATCTTTCAACTTTTGTGACAGAACACTACGGAGGGGTCACGTGACCGCCAATATTACGTCATTCGCGCATGCGCAGAACGGTGGTTGATGTGCATTAAAATCGGAGAGGATTAATTTAAAATATAATCAACATTAAAACCAAATATTATTTCTTGTATGGAAGTTATTCAATTAGTTTGCGAACTTTTTGATCACCCCTCGTATTTCAATGAAATTGCCAGAAACCTCGCATTATTCCGTGTGTTCACCAGGAAGGTGGACAAGCAGGAAAATGGATAGGGCTGGGTATTGGCCCGAGATTTCGTATTGCGATATATTGCGATATTTTTAACTGTATTGCAATATGTACTGCAATATTTTCAATGTAATTTAAATGGCATTTCTTACTAAATTTATTTTAATTTACATGCAGAATGTACAAAACTATGATAAGTAACCAACAAGGAAAAAAAATCTTGTTGATTTCATTTAAGTTATGCTCTGAAATGTTCCCAAAAACAACTTCTGTCTTACAGTTTTTATATTTAATGACAAACTTCCTTAATCTAAGCATATTGCCAATATATCGATATTACAAAATCGTATTGCGATACGATATTTGTTGTCATTGTATCGCAATATATTGAAATATCGATATTATTGCCCAGCCATAAAAATGGACGTCGATGATTTTATTTCAAAGGAATGAAATCAGATCGGTAATGTCCCAGAGAGCAGGACTATTTTGGACCTACATTGGTTAATGGTTGTACAGTTTGCCAATTGTCCAAAATAGTCCGGCCCTTAGTCTTGGTCTAGTCTTGGTCAACGATTAACCGACTATCGGTCCGCTTTGCTATATTAAAGGAAGATATGGAAGCTGGGAAGTTGACTCACCGTAAGCCCAACGTTTGAAATACAACCTACATGTATTAATCCGGCAACAGGTTTATCAAACGTTTGCTCAAAGTTAGTATGAGTGTTATTTGTGCTTTCCATGTTCGAGTAAATATAATGGTCCAATAGTGGTCAAATAATCGTATTTCGAACTAAAAACAAGGTGTATAAAATTCTAAGTTGGGAACAATATGAACCATATGTACAAACTTAAAGCTGTTTAATTTCTGTTCGTTATCTTAAACATTTTCATTTTATTTACCGGGTACGTGGCTTCGACCAACGCGACTTTTCAAGTAGAAACTTGATTCTATATCTCGATATTTTCACCTTTAGATTTATCAAAGTTAATAGAAACGGACCTCTGGAAATTTCAAAGGTGAGATCGGGTGCAAAGGGGTAGCAAGCATCCCTTCTCGACCAATCATGTCCAGCATGTGCCCTATGTACAGGTAGACGGAATATTTTTTGTCATTCAAATATACAATGTACAGAAAAGGACTAAAGAAATACATCCCAGTGATAGGTTTTATTTGTTAACAAGATCATTATAACAATCAAAGAACTTTAAAAACTGTAGACATGTTAAACGAGATTGTTGAAATCCCAGAAATATCAACTTATTTGCCAGTAGTATTTCTAATTTTAAGAATGATTGTATACTTATTGCGCTCAGAGCATTCTTCGACAGCTAGGCTCTTAATAAGGTCAAATCAAAAATACATATTTGTGTATATGTACATGTATGTACAATTCAATTTTACGGTTTTGCAACCAAGTACATGTACAGACATTTAGACTTTTGTAGCCATTTTAAAAGAAATAAATTGCTAACAAGGAGTTTATAATCAGTATCCAAGATCAAAGGACATGGCTATTTAGCTGGGATAAGGTCTAAAACCAAAATGATAAATCCCACTATTCCCAGAATAATTCCTCCAGAATAACCAATGAACGCGGAAGACGGTCTCTGATCTTCTGCGCATGTCAGCTTTCGGATGGTACCAGACAGCGAGGATGTGTCCACTGTCAGATTGGCTTTTATACTATTAATTTTATCCTCCAGAGTGACATTTAGGATTTGACAGGATGGATTACTACAAACACACGCAACAGATGGCACTGTTGTAGCCAAATTGGATGATGAAGGCAAAAGACTAAGCGCTGTTTGTCCTACATTTGAAATAGTTGAGATTTCTGTACTTTCAGTTCTTATCAGAGTAGTATCTTGGTAAACTGTACTCTCCTGTGCA